TTAACAGAAGATTTGATGTCATGATTTTATCCCGTCTTTCCTGTGATGACGCATCTCTTCTGTAGCTTCCTGCACTCTGCCTGGACATCTTCCCCTTTCTTCACTCCTTCTCTTTTTTAAACTAACAGTAAATATTTAAATATCATCTGACATGAAAACGTCATGTGGTTAGCTAGCCAGCTGTCAAAAAGTAGCTATATCTTGATTTATGGAAAATATGGAGGGTAGGTATGAGTAACTCCATGGCTACGATTTACTGTGATGTCAGCACAGCTCCATGACCTTTTTACTCTCACCTGAACAATAGGTGTCAAATCAGGGAAGATTCAGGTTTCCAGTCATGTGACTGTTAACCATGTGACATTAACTTGTTTGCTATTTTGAAATGTATAATGCTGTCTCAAGAGTCTGAGAGACTCATAACCATTGGTAAATAGGAGCACTAGGAAAAATGTGGTTGCTGGCAGTCCAAATGCTGCAGTCACCTTTCATTTGCATGGAAGACGCCAACTTGTCTGCAAACACTTGCCAACTGCTCACCAAGCAGCAGTGAAGCTGTGAAAAGTAAAACTGCAAATGGACACCGTTCTCCTTCAAAGTACAAGCTGACCCTTTTGAAACTTTTACATTAAAGGCAAGTGTTCTCAGTTTCTGGTTTACATCAAACTTTTTCCATATTTTATACCAGTCTGTGAACAGTTGGTGTCTCACATGCACTTACACGAATCTGTAACAGTGTGCTAGTGAACAAAGCTATCACAGGAGATTTTAGTGACCCTGTTCGGGACTGACTTCACAATGACTGCCAGCAACCTCCAGCAACAACTTGCCAACCAGTCAGGGAAACCTCATACCTAGAGGTTGCTAAATGTTATGGACTGCTCTCTCGGCCTGTGTGACTGGGGCCTTACTCAGTGATAAACCTGTGTTTGTCACTCATTTAGTGTTAAAAGCCTTTTCTTACTCTAAATACTCCAATAATAACACACAAAAGACTAAACTTCCCACTGAAACTTTTTCAAACTAACCTAAAAGTAAAGTTTTTAAAAGCTTAAAGTGGCACTGAAAGGAGTAAAGTCACTACAACTGTCATGGTGGATGGAATTAGAGGACTCAGGTCCGAGAGTCCTTGCGAAGTGATGGTGAATTTATTTACAGTGAAAACAAGGCAACAGTTCGACTGTAATCAAAAAGAGCACGGTGACTTCTCCCAGCGTGACAGTGCAATAATAATCCAAAACTCCGTCTCTCGCTGCTCCTCTGTTCCCCGGATCCTGGAGACAGGCGAGAAAACAAACATACAGTAACTAAACTGTTCTCTCACGTTCACAATCTTGAAACACTAACCGCGGCTGCGCTACCCGGCTTAGCTCAACGTTCCAGTGCTGGCTCTCATCCGACCGCACCGGTAATTAGGTCTGGATGTCAAAAGATTAGTAAGTAAGTAAGTAAAGTTTATTTATTAAGCGCTTTTCACAGACAGACAGTCACAAAGCGCTGTACACAAATATTAAAATAAACAATACAATCAATAGACATATACAGTGTAAAAGATCAAATGTAAATAATGTAAAAAATATATATAAAATGAATAGAACAACAAAAGGCTTGTTTGAACAGAAAAGTTTTTAACTGTTTTTTAAAAGAATCCACAGAGTCAAGCAAATGTAATTGTAGTGGTAAACTGTTCCACAGCCTTGGTGCAACAGACTGAAAGGCTCTGTCCCCTTTTGTCTTCCGTCGTGTACGGGGAACAACCAGACTCTGAGTCTGTGAGCGGAGATGACGAGCAGCAGTGTATTTTCTAAGAAGCTTGGATAAATAATCTGGAGCCTGGTCATTTAGCCCTAAAGAATGTAGACTCATGGGCAGTGTAGTCCGTGCTGCAGGGAGAGTGGACTGCCATTAGTGATGTGCGGATCGATCTTGAAATATCGATTCCTCCGATACCAGTCATTTATGTTCTAGAACCGATTCTCACATTAAATATCGATATTTTTAGTAATTTAGGGTTAATTTGTAGTTTATCATTAACAGCAACACAGTGGAAAGAAACTATAACATTCGGATTGTCTACATTCAAAGGAACTACTTCCTCTTCCGCCTTTCATAGTCATGTGCGAAATACGGCTGTATAAATGTCTGCAGCCCCTTGGCTCGCGCACTCACAACAATGGCTGAGCGTAATTGTGTGGACGTATTTTACCTCCACAAACAGCTGAGACATGGTTTGCGATACATGTGGCAAAAAAGTGCTCCAAGAGTGAGGTGTTGTGGCCATACTTGCCAACCTTGAGACCTCAGAATTAGGGAGACATTCAAAAGGGCTGTTGGGGGGAGGGGGGGTGATAAATACATTTTACAGTGTTTATTTATCGGATAAAATACGTTAAATGTCACCGTTATTATTAGCCGGCCTGGAAACAGCGGGGGGTGTCCAAATTCAGAGGCTGCTTCCACCTGAGGACCCGCCCTTCGCGGTCTAAAGAAAGCCGGGTAGTACGTCACGAGCTCCCTCGGTGGAGTGAAACAGCCGTCTGCTCCTTGCCATCTAAAATATAACCGGGCGCTGGCGTAAACTCTCGACCGTCTCACACTTTCTTTAATTAGTTTTCTGTTTGATGTTTATTCAGCTGTGTGAAAACCCCGGAGGAACCCTCCTGAGGGATTAATAAAGTTAAATTGAATTTAATCTAATCTAATAACTTTAATCTCAGCCAATCCGATTTACTCACGAACAAATAAAACACTGAAAAAGCCAACCAATAACATTTTTAAGTTATCAAAGTGACTTATATTTCATGTTTAACCCGAGTAGTGAAAGACCGCGGGGGTTTGAAAACAATGTGTCGATCGGCTCAGATATTTGAAGTTTACACAGCTACATTCTCACCTGAAAACATGTTAAAAGTTGTTTTTTTTTGCGACCCAGAAAGAGAAATAAGAGTAATATTAAAACTAAGTAGCTGCCGCCATTGTTGGAAACTGGAATTAGCTCGGCCGCGCTCCGTGAGAGACGTCTGTCTCGCCCTAGCAGCACCTGTCCCTCTCCTCCTCTTCAGTTCGTCTCAACATACGCTCCTCATATTCTGTGATATGATTTACTCTAAGGTGTTTGACAAGGTTAGTGATGTTGCCACAACCATACATGCCAACCCTCCCGATCTTTCCGGGAGAATCCCGGAGCCACCATTCTCCCGAATTTCCACCCTTTAGTGCTGCAGGCAGGCAGGTGTTAAAATAGCGCACAACTTCAGTTTTTTTATTTCTATATGATGAACTCTGCATTATTAAGTGATAAGAACAAGTAATCCGATGTCGTGTAATCATTATGACGCTATAATTTGAGATACACTAAATAAAATATGTTTTTGCATAAAGTATCGGTATCGGATCAGTATCATCGATACCACCCTGAATATTACTTGGGATCGGATCGGAAAGGAAATCAGTGGTATCGCACATCACTAACTGCCATACCCGTTATGTGTCTGTGAGGGAGAGGAGGGAGAAAAAGGAGAGTCGAACAGTACGAGTTGTCACCGAGCAGAAACAGGAGATGAAAGCATGTAAATATAATAATAACCACTGCAGCCAAAGTAAGTTTAAGTAAGCTATTAAGACTCGACTGTACACCGTGTTCGCGTTTTCCTCTGAAACAATAAGTTCTGTTGGAGCAGCCTTTCAACACCTCTCTCTGTCTCTCACTAGCAAAGTTGACCCAGACAACAAAGTAAAGCTAGTTTTTGGCTACAAGCCCGACAGGAACCCAACGTATTAGCCAGAGGTCCCTTTACTACGGTTTGGGGCGCGGACCTGTTTTATATACGCACGGAATAGTTTTTTATATGAGATCGCTGCAAAAAGTGCAGCCTTACCTTAAGATATATTAAGATTTAAAATTCTAGTTGGTATTGGTATGGCGAGTATCCTTCAGTAATAGTAATAAATCACACAGCAACATTCATGTGGTTGTAAAAAGCTTGATAACATATTAAGTAATCCAAAGTATTCCGTTATGTTTGGGAGCATGTATTCTGTAATCTGTAATGGAATACATTTTAAAAGTGACCTTCCCAACACTGCAACTAGATTACATTTTATCACAAAAAACAGAATCTCTTCGACAGTGAATGCAACAATACTGGGACGGGAAATCAATAATACTTACTATTAAGTATTACTACTACTTTTACCATTATTTCTATTCTGCTGAAAATAAACCTAATCACCCCTATCTGCCAGGGACTTACACTGTGCTCTAAACCAAATGCCTAATGGCAAGGCACCAGGCCTGGATGGATTCCCTGCTGAATTTCTGAAACATTTCTGGTCCGTGTTATCTCCACTATTCTTCATAACTGGCACAGAAATAAAAACAAAAAAACTAAAAAAACAGTCTAATCCCTCCCCATATGAAAACGGCAGCAATAAAATAGTTACTAAAAACAGAAAACGACGCTACCAGCCTTTGTCACTAATTAATACCGACATTAAAGTTATTCCTAAAGCACTTTCATCTAGATTAGAAACAGTTCTGCCCTCAATAAATCATAATGACCACACAGGATTCATCAAAGGCTCACATGTCAAAAAATGTTTTAGTACGACTTTGGTAAGCTACGGAGCTGCACCGCTTGATGGATTGTCGGAGCATTACGGCTACCGAGGAGCCTCGCGTAGTAATACGCACTGTGCTTCAACGTAATATTACCGTATTATGTGTGTATAAGCACCATAAATGGCACCTGAAGCGGATTTCAAACTCCAGGCTGTCAGTCACGCAGTAGAAGTTGGGAACAGAGCTGTACAACAGGCAGGGAAAAAAATCCATGCTCCTTTTGAAGGAAAGTTTAAAATGAAGAAACAAACGTCCGGAGGCAATTATTACAGTTAAACTAAACTTAAAATACCTTTAGTTATTCCGAACTTCTCGTAACTCGCACATACTTTCATATCCTTACAGCACATACAGAAAATGTTCAGAACAAAATAAAAGTAAAGTATTTAAAATAGTAAAAGCGGAAGGAAAAGGAGCCCAAAAACTGAAACCGAAATACAAGAGGACCCGTCTGAACCGATAACAGCTGCCTGCACGTGACACACAAATAAACAGATCGTCTGTAAACACACAGCACATGAACTTCACTTAGTGGGGACATTTGTCAGCTTTTTTTTTCTCTGAATGACCAAATCAGAGGTCAAAGGTTAGTGGCTCACTTGTTTTCCTCTCCCTGCTCTCCTATTGACTGACAGACTCACTTTATGAAGGACCACGGGGTCGATGCCACTTCACAGACTGCAAACATCAGACCAGGTACTGTACTCTGACTCTGTCTTACTCTCATAACAGGGATGTTTTCCTCTTCTTCAGAGCTGAACTGTTAAATTTTACCTGTGGTTAGAGGTCGGTATGGTTAACAGAAAATCTGCAGGGGCTGAATGGATTAAGGCTGTTTGTTAATAAGTTTTTAAAGTGTTCATTATTGTTCCTATTGTTGTTTTAGAGTTTAAACAGATGCGCTGATTGGTTGGTTTATTTGAGAATTCAGAAGGTAGAGAAGAGGAAGTGGAGACAATAAAAGCAAAAACAAGTCACAGGCTTTATTTTGCTAATTAGGTGCCAAACACATGTATTATTATTGTTCTTTTGCCTGTAACGTGATGATTTGTTAAATCTCCCCGATGTTTCTGTGTGATACAGATAAGGAGCTGAATGTCTAAAGTGACTAAAACCTTTGCACAGTACTGAACTTTCACCAGCAGAGCCACCTCTGACTTTATGAGTCCAACAATAAACTGGAGTCATGGCAGTACTGGTCCTTTGAGTCACACAGGGTGTATAAAAGATTTACAGCTGGCTAAAAAATAATGATAATATCAAAAATAACAAAGCTAGCTGGCTATTAATTTTTTTCTGCCTTTGCAAAAGAAGTGAGTCTGTGAAAGATTTTTTGCTGGGGGAACTAGATGCTCATCCTGATGTTGTTTCTGCTGAGTCCATTTATAGCTGCTGCACACACACACACACACACACAGAGAAACTTGCCATCGTGCTGCTGCGCTGTTAATCTGCATTGCACCAGAAGCTGGCTGTGTGGTAAGCATTTCGATTACAAAGTGCTGCAGAGGAAGCAGAGGTGATGTATGAAACAGCTTTATGTAGGACAGGTGGCTTTCCACCAGCTTCTTCAGAAAGATGATTCAGAGGAACAGGGCGTGTGACTGGCTGTTTTACACAATTAGTGCTGAGTTAATTAATTGTGCAAGTTTTAACTTTTATTCCTGAAAAGAATTGTTTTTTGATGCTTTTTTACTTTATATACTATTTTTTATTACTTAATTGTCAATTAATTACATAAAATTTGAACTTTTTAATCTTTTAGGAAAGTCAGTAACAGAAACTCTCCATGTTGATATATTTGTCTTTATAAAATGAGAAAGATGATGTGGCAGCTCAAACAGATTGATTCCTGTTTTAATGCCTTAACTCAAACTGTGTTGCCTTCTCAGTACTGCTAAGAGGTTAATCTACTTTGTTTGTGTTTCAGTTTTTTTGGCCCTGTCTTTTAAAATCCAGAGAAAAAGGAAAAACAAGTACACAGGAAAGAACTATTAATAAAACCAGATCCTGGTCACTGAATGATTGAAAATTTTTAGGTCTCAACAGACTTGTAATGTTTTTACTTCTAGCAGACATGATAACAATCCCAGATCTGATCAGGAAGAAGAGGGATGGAGGACAGTTAAGTGATGACGAGATCAAAGCCTTCATCCAGGCCGTTAAAGAGAAAACCATTCAGGACTCTCAGACAGGTACAAACCATCTGACATGCATTCACATTTCCTCCTTTGCATCTTTAACGTCTCCCACTCTTTGTATTTAAGGGGCCATGCTGATGGCTATTTGGCTGAATGGGATGGTCTCCGCCGAGATTAAGGCCCTGACCCGAGAGATGATGTCATCGGGAGAAGTGATGGAATGGCCCGATGAGTGGAAAAATTTCATGGTGGACAAACACTCGACTGGCGGGGTGGGAGATAAAGTCAGTCTGGTGTTAGCGCCAGCGCTAGCTGCCTGCGGCTGTAAGGTATAGACTTTAACGATGAAATCTGATTGGTTAAAACGTTAAAGTGAACCCATTCTGTTCATGCCCAGCTGGACTGCGCTAAATTTACATGATTAATATTATTTTAGACTGGGACACAGTGCAGCCCCCTGGTTCTGTTTAAGCTCCTCCCCTTTTAAACAAACTTCTTGTGATTTGTTACCCCACATTAGTAGAAGGTGATTTACTTGGATGGGTGTGTCTTCCTTTTCTCAAAATGTGAGATTACCATATTAGGAATATTAATTCAGTCCATGTCCACAGGTTCCTATGATCAGTGGGCGGGGCTTGGCTCATACAGGAGGAACTCTTGATAAACTGGAATCAATTCCAGGATTCAAGGTGGAGCAATCAAGAGAGCAGGTGAAGCAATCTGTTCTGGCTCACATATATTTACATATAGTTTTAAAAATTAATAGTTTTAACTTTTAATAAATGTCAGCAAAATGTTACTCTGGGGGGAAAACACACTGAAGCACTTTGCGCACCCCCTGGTGGGCCATGAGGGTACTGCATGTGATTCACAAGAGCTCAATTACAATAAATATACTTAAAAATCTTTTTTTTTATATCAAATATTTTTGATTTTATGAGGTAAATAACCACTGGTCCACTGGAGTGGGCGGTTCAATTTGCCAACTACCAATGAGAGCCAAGGATACTGTTGGCTCACATAACAGAGTTGCCAGGCAACTAGACCCTGGAACAAGTGAATAACTTCCTGTGTCGCCTCTTTAGGCTCACGTGAGGATCATTGATTAAGTTATATTAAAAGTTTTAGGCTCTAAAGATTTTCAGATATTAAATTGGGCTCAAGGATGGCATAGACTGTATATAATAGATGGATATAGCCACAGTGACAAACACTAAATACTGCAACACTGCATGCTCATTGGCTCACCTCTTGTCAGTCACATGTCATTGGCGAATGAGGATGAGACTTTTTAAAGTGTCTTTTTTTTTAATTATTCAAGAGTCGAATCTATTGACTGAGACCATTTACTCAAAAGGAAAGAATTTCCTAATAGTCAAAATAAAGTGAGTAAGTCTCTTCTGTTTAACCACCAGAGGAGTCGCCCCCTGCTGGCTCTTAAAAAAAAACTAAACAGATGAAACTATTGACTGTTTGGGGAAACAAGGACACTGACATCTTTACTGAAATTTGTTAATTAATTCCAATGGTAGCTCTTGTGATAAGGGTACAAAAATAACAGAAAATTAAATATTTAAATTCATAAATAAATAAAACTACATACGGATAATAAAGAGTGATAAACACTCAAAGTCATTCTCTGATTCAGCTGTTCTTCTCCAGATCCTGGAGATCCTGGACTCAGTGGGCTGTTGCATTGTGGGTCAGACAGAGACTTTGGTTCCTGCAGATCGAGTCCTGTACGCTCTGCGGGACATCACCAGCACCGTGGACAGTTTACCTCTGGTTACTGGTAAAAACTGGGATTAGTGCTTCAAGAGCCAAAAACCCTTTTTTTGTGTTGTTGTTTTTTTTTTTTTTGAGAAATTTAAGCTTTTCCACCCGTGTGTTGCGAGGGTCAGGGGACCCGACACACAGGCGGAAAGGATTTAGACTTTCTTTACTTGATATGTGAGCCCAATCAGCCTTCGGGGGAGGGTCATTTCTACCTGAACATAAGTTTGAGCGGTTATAGCATTATGCCCATTTAAACTGATGAAAAGAACCAGATCTTTTGATACCCACATAAAACTGGTGTCCAGCACCTGGCTGGATTTTGCCGTGGATATCCGTGTTTTTTCTAGTCAGCTTACAGCCGTCTGTGCTGTTTCTGCAGGTTCGATCATCTCAAAGAAAGGAGCCGAGTCTCTGTTTGCTCTGGTGCTGGATGTCAAGTTTGGACGAGCTGCTATCTGCAAAGACTTGGAAAGTGCTACAGAACTAGCTCAGATGCTAGTGAGTACAACAACAATTCAAATATTTCACCATAAAAGAGGGAGGGAGGGATGTGAAACATCTGTGCATGGAGTGATGCAGCAACACAACATTGAACCACAGGGGAGATAATATTGGGTTTATTACAGGTTATTTTAATCCAAACTCAGAGGTTTAATTTACAGCGCAGCGTCCAATGCCACAGCCCGTTAATGGCAAAGCTGACCTCAAATTTGGATTTCGCTGTTTATTTTTCTTTCAGGTGGAAGCAGGAAACGGCCTGGGCATATGTACAGCAGCTGTGCTCAGCGGCATGAACAGTACGATCGGTCGATGTGTGGGAAACAGCGTGGAGGTGATCGAATCTCTGGAGACGCTGAAGGGAAACAGACCCGATGACCTGATGGAGCTGGTCACGACTCAGGGTGATGACGTCGCTCAGCAGCTCTCGTCTGTTAGGGTTTGATCACCAAAGTAACAACGTGTCTTATCCGATGCATTAAAAAGGTCCTGAACCCCAAAGGAACACCACTTTATTAGGAACACCTGTGGCCATTTTATTAGAGACACATACCCTGTGGTCAATTTATTAGGACCACCTGTGGCTCTCTAAATGCAGGAAGCATCTGAACCATTTCAAAGTGGCAACTGTTTTTATTAGCACACCCATGGCCACTTTATTAAGTACAGCTGCGGTCTAATAACGTTGCAGCATCTCTTTTGTGCCACCTGCCTGTTTACCTCTTCTAGCAGCAAGCCAGATAATTTGCAGTGTCGAGTTAACATTAAAGATTATGGATAAATAACATGTATCTTATCTTCATTCTTCTCCTAGCTCTATATAGTTTTAAATATTGCACTCCATACAGATGCCCTCTGATTAAGAAAAAGAAAATTATTATTTTACACGGTATGCAGCCCCTCAGTTTACCTCCCGTCTCTTTAAGGTCCTCCTCCCTAAAAGCCTACTTTGTTCTGACTGATCAGTTTCTGGCAGTCTACCGAGGAGCAGCACCCAATGCTTGTGAGCTGTACTGCTTGTATTTTTTGGACTTTGTACCCACAGGAACTACTGCCACATAATTCTTTATCTTTTTTTAAAACTCTGAACTTGTTTAATATTGCAGATCCGCATTAACTTGCTAATGGAGATTTGCCGCATTAATGAGGTTATGGTGTTAATGCTGACAGAACTAATCTAAACCTGTAACTTTCTTTATACATCCATCCATCCATCTTCATCCGCTTTATCCGAGGCCGGGTCGCAGGGGCAGCAGCCTAAGCAAAGAGGCCCAGACCTCCCTCTCCCCAGCCACCTCCTCCAGCTTATCTGGGGGAACTCCAAGGCGTTCACAGGCCAGCCGAGAGATATAATCACTCCAGCGTGTCCTGGGTCTGCCCCGGGGCCTCCTCCCTGTGGGGCATGCCTGGAACACCTCACCCAGGAGGCGCCCAGGGGGCATCCTTGTCAGATGCCCGAACCACCTCAACTGGCTCCTTTCCTTTATACATGAAAATTAAAATTAGAAAACGCAGAACAGCCTCTCCTTTGTGAATATCAGAGACATGACAAGAATCTCATTGTTACCTTTGTTATAGAGTCCTAGTGAATATTACCCTTAGATGAGATAACCCGTTCTATAATGATGATAATAATTTTTTTGCTATAGCTAATAAGAAAAATAGACCACTTGGGTTTAAAATTAAAAAACAAACAAACACTTAATTCTGACAGCTGTAAAAACATCATGGGAATCTAAACCCACTGCATGCACACCTTTACAGACAACAACTTTCTTTAATTTTAGTCTATTTTTAAGTTTATTTAATTTTACACTGGTGTAAAAATTTCCCTTTAGGTACATTTAAAAAAGAAAGCATGATAAATATTTAAAATGTGTTTTGTCTGTGTTTGTAGGCGGCTTGTTGCTCGTGATGACTGGTCTAGTGTCTGACCTATCAGAAGGCAGAAAGCAGATTTCCGAAGCTGTGGTTGGTGGAGCAGCGCTGTCAAAGTTCCAGGCCATGATGGAGGCTCAGGGCGTGAACAGCGACACAGCTCAGCTGTTGTGCTCCACCAACGCAGATTACTACAGCATCCTGAGAAAAGCGAAGCATCAGCTGGAACTGAAGGCTCCTGCAGACGGTAAAGCCAATAAAATGCCTCCATTCACTGTTGATGCATTCAAAGACACACTCAGGAAATATGAACTACCTGCACTTACAAAGAAAATTTATCATGTTTAGGAATCTAAAGAAACTAACAAACACAGCTATCTTTGATGACACGGGAACTTTTATGCTGAAGCGCAGGTTGTTACACAGTTTGTGATTATAGTTACATTTGGGGTTTGTTTTAAGAGAATTTGTTACCAACAGAAATTAGACAAGAACTGCACTGAAAATCAGTGGCAGGAGGTCTGATGTAGAGATGAATCCAAATTTGAACATTTTGGTTTAAATAGTCAATATGAACAAAAAGAGGTACAACAGTGAGGGTCTGCAGCCATCAGTAAAACACGGTGGAGGCTCAGTCATGGTTTGGGGCATTTCAGCCAGTGGCGCTGTGGATGTTGTCAATACTGATGGAAATATGAACACAGAAAAGTACAGTCAGAGTTTGATCCAAAAAGTAATCCCAACACATGCACTTGCACATGTGTACTTACATATGTGAGCCCTCGTATTTGATAACATGTATTTTTACTGTGTCTTCCTGCAGGTATCGTTTTGGAGATTGACGGTTTGGTTTTAGCTCAGGTGCTTCACAGATTGGGTGCGGGGCGATCAAAGGCTGGAGAGCCTGTCAATCACAGTGTGGGGGCGGTGCTACTGGTGTCTATAGGTCAGAGGGTCACAAAAGGTAAGAGGCTGTTGCTACTGCTGCTGATGGTGTGAGGGACATCCTCCTGATGGAGTCGTGTGTTTTCAGGCGACCCGTGGCTGCGGCTCCATTATGAGGATCTGGCGCTGACCCCAGACCAGAGGAATCACCTCGAGAGCGCCCTGACTGTGGGAGCAGACAAAAAAATACAAACACAACAGAAACACACTTTGGTGGAAAAGATACTACCTGAGAAATACCAGTGATTCTTGAGATAAGGGACAAAACATGTCCGCCAGATAAAACCCAATTTGAGGGTTAAAAATATGCATACAAGACTGACTGAAAGAAAAACCAAGGCAATGTTTATACAACAAAATTATGATTTTGCATTTTTTATACATATACATTTATTTTAAATGGTACAATACATTACCAGTACCTTAAAAATCCATTGTCCAGAAGCAGGTGTGATAATATTAAAATACAGAAAAAAAATTAAAAGTAATTCAAAATGTAAACATCATGGCTCTCGTCACTAAATATTTAAGTCAATATCTTATATAATATCAAAATATGCAATTGAAAATTTATTTTTACATATTTTTTAAGTGATTAAAATCGTGTCCAGAGTTTTTGTCAACACCATCAGATTTTTTTTAAAAGTACAAAAAAATCAGGAATTATTGTGGTTAGCTTACACTCTGAGGACCCCTTTACCACTTCCTGTTTGATACACATGCCATGAGGTCACTGCTGTGATAAGGTTTTTTTATTTTTTATTTTATTTCATTTATGGCATGCCTTTGTGATAAAACCCTGTGTCACAACCATAGTGTGTCAACACCAAAGTCGATGAAATGCAAGATTTAAGTATCTTTTTTATAAAAAGCTTAATTTAGGTAGATTGTAGAGGCCATAAGCAAATGATGCAAAACAAGATGGCTTTTGTCAGAAAAACATGTGTTATGAGAGAAAGTAGGGTGTCAACACCATCAGGATTTTTGCCTGACAGTGTTGACCCATTTCCAGTGGTGTTGACAAATGCCACAAAAGTGTCCCATTCACTAATTATATTAAGTTCTTTTAATTAATATTTCAGTCATATTACTTTCTGTGTATTTTACTGATATTTCTGCTTTACAGATGTGTTGAATATTATCGAATTTGCCTTATCTCGAATCTCATTGTTTATGTATACTATGTCTATGAAGCGCCTTGAGGCGACTCTTGTTGTGATTTGGCGCTATATAAATAAAATTGAATTGAAATTGAACTTTATTATTCCTGTAGGAAAATGCTTAGTTCTCTGCATTCAACCCATTCACTCAGTGATGCAGTGGGCAGCTACCAATCGAGGATAGCCGCTGTTTGTTGGATTTGAACACCCAACCTTCCATCATGTGGCATCTACTGAGCTAGCTGTGCCCCAAGAGCTGATCTTTAAGTGATGATGGATGAATCCTGCTTCTGGGCCCAAACTACTCTATTTATTAAGGCTGTTGTGCTTTTAACATGTTTTATTGCTTTTTATCTTGTTCTATTTAATCTGAACAAGCCCCTAAAAACAGTCAGTGATCACTGTCAGCCTAACCATCAGAAACCCTTGCATTACCTTTTATCGAGTGGAAAAAATTTAGCGTCCATCCTCCAGCTTCACTGTGTTTATGTTATGCTAACATAGCTGTGTCACCAGCGATCACGTAGCACATCATTATATACCAGCTAGTCCAACTTCAGTAACCCTTCAGTAACCCTGCAAAAGTCACTGTTGTTTAGTTTTCTGGCTTCATTTATGTTGGAATGTAGGTGGAAACCAGCGAGCTAACTTCTAACTCTGTTAAATTTCATATATTCTGTTTTCATGGATGCCTGGATGTTACACCTGGAAGAGCAGCCACACTGATCATTTTATTAAAGATGAAGGAAAGAAAGAATTTAGACAGTTTGTAACTCTCAGTGATGCCGCAGAGTTCCTTTGACTTTGGGATCTGCAGCGGAGTTTGGACCTGGAAACAGCTAATGACATCAGACTTAAAGACTGGATAGCATCTCTATTGCTTAATACATAATTGTGTTGTGAATATTCATCCTTAATCTGTATAAATGCATAAGGTTCAGAAAAATTATAGTAATTACAAAATGGTACATTTCAGGCTAGAATTGCAAAGGGGAACCTGTCAGAGGAACGAAAGAGGAGGAACAGGGATGATCAAATAAGGAGAAAAAAATTAACAGCCAGCCTGAGTTGAAGAAAGAGTTTCTCATAAAGGAAAGGGAAAGATCTAGAAAGAGAGTGAAAGAGGGAAAAATAAAGAACATCGGTGATCTGAAAGGAAGAGAAAAAAGGGAGAAGGGAAGGTTTTGGAAACAAGCAAACACACAACCAGAGTACTTTAGGTATCAAAGAGTAGTAGGCAGCTACTTGCTGGTGAACTATTAAGATGTAGAACTTGACATGTGCAAAAACAGAATTGTTATGATGTGTCTGATATTACATAAGTTGTTAAACTTTAATGGTCATTTTGAAAGAAATAATATTTTGTTTTCTATTAGTGTGTCACCACCGTCAGCACCTTGTCAACTCCATAATATGGATTTCTTTGTTTATTTTTGTCTTTTGAAGAACCGTATATTATCCTCCCTCATGATCTTCCAATAAAAATACGTAATTTTCTCAATGTGTCATTTGCATGCTGCTAAATAGGATTGTTTCTTTTCTGAAAATATGTATGACTGTAACGCTACTAATAAAAAGCCAAAACAATCTTACTTTTAAACATAGTATAATTCGTTTGAAAACATATGTGCATAAACAATAGAACAATATGCTGCTAATAGTCAAAATAGCTGAAACAACCTAAAATATATATTTTTGCATTTGTTTGTGTCTGATGGTGTTGACAAAAACCTTGCACTCCTCCAGCAAAAATATAAATTATTAAAAAATATTACACCTGGGAGATTGTACCAAAACATGGTGAGACAGCCAAAACTTTGTGTAACAATTATATGTAAATATCCATCCATCCATCCATTCACTTCCGCTTATCCTTTTCAGGGTCGCGGGGGGCGCTGGAGCCTATCCCAGCTGTCATAGGGCGAGAGGCGGGGTACACCCTGGACAGGTCGCCACTCTGTCGCAAGGCTAACACACAGGGACAAACAACCGTTCGCACTCACATTCATTTGCACATTCACACCTAGTGACAATTTGGGTTATCCAATTAACCTATCCCCACAAGTAAATATGTAAATATGTTTTTGTTTTGTTTTTTCAAAAAATATATTTTAGAAAATTAAAACCTGTTTTGTCCCTAATCTCAGGAATCACTGATACATATATTAATACTTTTAAGTTGTAGAGTTTAATCTGCCTGTAGGAACAATGTGAATACTGCTCCCATGACCTCACCGTCCGTCCGTCTCTGATGCTGCCGCTTCCTGCTGAGCTGATTAAAAGATCGGCTCCGTGCTCACGACTGCTCATCCTTAAACTTGTTACCTCAGTTTATCTGGTCTTCAGGTGATTTTATCCAGCTGCTTTTAACCATTAAGCTTTCCTCACCATGGCCCTCATGTAAAACTTCAGTATTTATCGATCTGTCACTTCACAGATATCAGTGTTACTCACACCTTTAGTGTTCACGCCATCTTTTCACCATCTATTTCCTCCTCGCTCTCAGATGTGCAACTGATGTAAGGATTCATTTAGAATTGTCATTTTATTGCTGGCTCTGCAGATCTTTCGTTTAAATAAAAATCGCTTCTTGAAGAACTGAATCTTGGTTGTGGCATACTCTATCTCAGAAGCTATTCGATTTTTCTCCTTCTCGAATTTAAGAATCAAATTTCTTTCTCATAAAGTTTTCACTTTTTCCTCTGATCAATATCCTCTGACTAAAAATTATAATTTGTCAAACATTTTTGTTGAGTAAACAAACAAAACAAAAACGCTTTTCTTTTTCAGAACACAACAAATTAAACTTTATTAACAGTCTCACATTGACAAAAAGACTTAGGAGCATAAAAAAGTTCCTCTAACATTTTCATCATCTCACTTCTTTATTTATAAAAAGTACAAACAGAAAACAAGAGCCAGGAGTCAGAGACAGGAAGCAGGCGAGCAAGTTATCAGGATGCTCCGGCTGGTCCCGGATAATTAGCACACCCGCTCCTAAAACAGACTTCCATAAACTTTATTCACACAACAGTCACGCTGTCATCAGGGGTCAAAGGTCAGTGGACGACAGAGTTGAGGGGCTCAGCTCTGATGTTTCCTAAATCCAGAGTGGAGTCCGTCTCCTCATCGATCTCCCCGATCACCGCACTGTAACCAAAACAAGAAAAAAAATGTAACCACGAAAACAAACGAGAGGATTACAAACAAAAACAAACAGGAAGAACAAATAAAAACAGAAAGGAAAACAATAAACAATGATAAACAAACTACATAACAGAACTTAACAACAATATTTTTTGTTCATTAAAGTAAAACAACATGTAACAAATCTACATCTATCATGTATGTATGGATCCCCACACATCATTTTCCTTATAGTTTAAGAATAAGAGTCTTTCTCTTGGTTTTCCTTCATAAAAATAATTTTAAACAAACAAAAACAAAACTCTGATAGGGGTATCCGGATCAAATGTGCAACCACAGCATTCATCCTTAAAGCATCACAGAAAAAAACTTTTACATTTTTTTTCTTAACTCTTAATTATTAATTATCCTGTTTTGCAATAATAAATTATATCTTTATAAAATAATAAAATTGGTAAATCATGTTAATCTGATTCTGTAGATTAAAATTTACATTAAGGCCTCACTAATCTTTTGTCTTCAGTATTGATTCATCATCAACAAAGGTCAAACGTGACTTACACGTTGTCACCTCGGACAATGTAGAGTCCCAGCACCACCTGCTCGACCCCCTGACTGGAGCTGAACACTCTCTCGTGACTCTCATCCAGGATCAGGTTGATGGTCTGATCAAAGCCCTTCAGAGTGCCCTGAAAAACAAACAAACTGACATGAACACAACTTACAATAACAAAAAGTTAACATCCAAAATAATTCTGACTTCACTGAATCCCAAATATTGTGAGTGGTGGAGTTCTGATGAGGATGTGTTCAGACTCACCACAATCATCCTGCCGTCCGAGGTGACAATGGCCACGGTACCTGGATCAGCACGAGTTAAAGAAACAGCACCTTTATGGACCAAAACCTCTCTAATATTATTCAGAACCTACAAATAGAAACAATTATCATCACACCAAAATTGAAAGCTATCCCGCCCACCCATTCTGGCCACAAGAGGCGCTTGTAACCTTAGCTTCTGTCTGTTAATGAGCTCCAGCTTTAAAACTGTAGGTTGTATGGTTCCAAAATTAAAAAAAGAAAAGAAAAAAAAAAAGCTTAAGATTTTACAATTTTTCAAAGTGGTCCAGATGTGATGAGTCCTGATGAATCAAACTGTGAAATCATTTACAGAACTTCTCTGATCAGCGGGTCCAAATAATATAAACACAGCAATAAAATCACGAGATTTTCCTTCTTGTGAATGTGAAATCTACATTTAAGAAGTCTGAACATGTTTTAACTCAGCTCTGAGCAACCCGTTTCTCACAGACATCTCTGAACTGCCGCTAATTAACAAAACAAGTAAGTATGCAGCTAAGCTAACTAGCATTTTCCCATTCATTCAGAGGGTTTGCACATTAGTGGCTAACGGCGGAAGGATACGGTTAATGTAGCTCTCTAGCGCAGTGGACATCCTAAGTCCCGGGCTCGGTGTCTATTTATCCAGCGGGGTGGTCGACAAATACTTATAGTGGTAGTCCGGTGACAAAATAAAACCGTGCGCACTCGAACAGCAGCAGTAGCAAACGGCTAACAACACACTGGAGCGCAGACTAGAGCAATCAAACACTGAGCATGCACGAGAGCAGAGCGCCGAGCGGAAGCGTCACATCCGGTTTGTGTTAACTCTCAAAAAAGAAAACAGTAAAAACTGCGAAACTTAAAGAAATAAAACAAAAAAGGTGGGAAAATGGGAAATACAAAAGAAAAAAACGTCAAGTTTTCTAGTAAATTTGTCAAGTTTATAAGAGAAAAACAAAATTATGATACAAATTGGTAAACTTACATGATACAAACTATTTTTTTGACTATTTTTTTAATGACTCTAAAACATTAAATATTTATTTTGTCGTTTTTCCACCCTATCCCTTAATTTTTATCTTTAATTATTTTAAATATTTCTTTCCTTCCTATGCTCCATCATAGTTAATAACCACTTTCTGTTTATTTCAATATATTTTCAGAGCCCTCAGATGCTTCTTTGAATAGTAAAAATATTTATGACTCATTTCTGAAATATAAATGATGTGATCCGCAAACAAAATGCCCACCGGAAGTGATGTCATTTCCTGTAACTAGAAAAATACAAACATATTTTTACAGTTATGTGGTCCTCACAGGAAAAGATGGTTAAAAAATTATGACGATTCTAACAAATATAAGCCATTAGCGTAGATTTAACTACCAAACACAATAATGGGCATTTGAAATTAGCTTAACATGGAATAAAACAGTTTTGGGATCTTTTGGATAATTAAGGAAATCTAGTTAATGCTCTCTAAATGCACAACTATTACGTACACTTTAATGTCATTTTGAAAACTTAAAATAGTGGTAACCATGAAGGTGAAGATGTCCAGGCTGAGTGGTAAAATGGTGTTGAGAAACTTTCAGCACAGGAAAGACAGGCAGGTCTGCTTTGCTTTTCTTTCTGTCAAAGACGTAAAATTAAATATGTATTAGGAAAAAAAATCATAAATAAACTTGTGTGTGTTGATGTCAGACAACACACAGAGTCCAGTTCTCCCAGCAGGTCTTCATCTTTATTGTTGCTCAGTAATCGTCCATACAAAGGCGGGTGGAGGAGAGCAGTGGAGCCCGACAGGACAAACAACAGGAACGTCATGCTACCAAAGTATTAAATTTGTACAAAAATACTTTACAACATCCCTGTTCCTTTAAAGAAAAATACAGTTTGGTTGGTTGGTGAAGCTACATGGAAACTAATCTGACCCACTATTTCAAATGGCAGTGCAATGCACGTGTGTGTGTGTGTGTGTGTGTGTGTGTGTGTGTGTGTGTGTGTGTGTGTGTGTGTGTGTGTGTGTGTGTAGGTAGGTGGATGTCTTGCTGAGGTGAATCACTAGAGTGCAAATCCCTGCAATGTTATACACACATACACACACACACACACATACAGGCTCTAACAAATACACACCCACACACATGGTAATGTTAATACATGCGCACAAACACAGTGTGTATGGCTTTAGGTCTCACTCATCAAACCTTTGTGAAGCCACACCCCTCAGCCGTGTGGCTTGTTCCCATTGGTGGAGCAGTTCTCTTGGCTGAACCTTAAAACACTAACATCTATGTGTTAGCCCTCAATTCAAGGCATTAGCTCTATATTAGCAATGTAAACCATTTCCTTAGACCTTGTTAGTTCCCTTTAATCAACCTGTAACTACTACCTCGGCTAAATGCTAGCTGCAAGCTAAATTATAGTTCATGTTAGTTATGTGCTAACATAAACCACAAATCAGTAGAAGCTGACATAAAACTGACATACTCTCTTGTTAGCAGACATTTTTAGCTCCTTGGTTACCCGTTGTGTTTACCTACCTACAAACCAACCAAGCCCTTGCTATGTTAAGTTGTAACCACACCAGTAAATAAGTGTTGAAAAATTGTACAGCTAACTTACCACCCATGTACTATGTGCAACTAGCCACATGTTATAGTTAGCTCTAATGCTCTGCATCAACTACCACATGCTAAACTGTAGTTCTATTATTTCCCATGTTAGCTTTTTGCTAACAAGAGAAAAACTTTGTTTTGCAAATGTAAGCCCTGTGTTAAAGGTCTGTAAGGGCTGTGCTGGCACTAGCCGTGTGCTAACATAAAAAGTTTAGGTTTGGATAGCTCTTTATTCATATGCTAATTAAATTACTTATACGCTTATTAACTAATAAATATAGCAAGAAATGGGTGTTACACATAGAACAAGAAAATTAGGCTTTCTATGTGTATAGTCATGCGTTATGGTTAGACTAGTCCTATGCTCAATGTCTGCTAGATACATACTAATCATGTGTTAGTAATGTCCTCAGACCAAGTTAGGCTGCTCACTTGTCAGTTGAATTTGATGTGTGGTATATTGCTTTTGCTAAAATTAGAAACCGTGACTTAGTACTAACCATAAGCTAAATAGCTCTGTTATCCCCATGTAAGCTATGCGTTAACATAAGCCAAAAATCTGTAAGAGATCTTCAATGGAGCTGAAATACCCTTATGTTAGCATTGGCTGCATTACGTAAACCCCGTGTTCAACATCTGTTGGTCACATGCTAAAATGTATTTCTGTTATCTGTTATGTTTGCCTAATGCAAATAAGAAAAAAAGTCTTTATTTAACACATTAGCCCAATTTTAAAAATGGGCACAAGTTTTGCTTAACTGTGTCCTGACATACAATAGGATGTTACAATAAATGTTAGCTTTGGCTAGCTGTTTAAATATATGCCAACCAAGTTCTTTCTTTGTGATTAGCTAATAAACATAATAATAAATGGATATCAAACACAGCCAGCCTATGGTCCTTGTGTTATGTCTGTTATGATTACGCTAGCCCTTTGTTTAATGTCTGCTAGCCATATGATAGCTATGTCCTTAGATCAAGTTAGCTTGCTCAAGTGTCAGTGTAATACCAGTGTTTCAGCCTTTTTCTAGTCAAGATGCTAAAAGACATTAATTAGCTCTACAGCTAACCGTACCTTAGTGAAGTGCAAGGTTTGTGCTAACAATACACAGACTGTGCTAGTACTGGGATAGCTGTGTGCTAACATAAAAAAAATGTTGGTTAAATTTAAGCTTTGGTTAGCTGCTTTTACCCATGTGCTTACAAGTCTCTTGCTATGTTTATTAGCTAGTAAACATAGTTGGGATAGTAGTTTGTACTGTGTTTATAATTATGGGTATGCTCTGCGTCTGCTAGCGTAATGCTAACTACATACTAGGCATTTTCTTGCAAAAAAACCAAAAAAAAAAAACCCATCTGAGCTTTTAGAAATTTTTGGGTAGACCAGAACAGCCAATTACAACTATCCACATAGAAACAGCCAATCACAATGCTAATCCAAAGCACAGCAGCAACTATTGGAGTGTTTGGCTCAGGGATGCTGAGGGAGGGTTCTGATTGGCCACTTTAAATAGTGAGTTAAGACTAAGGTGAGAGCAGGAAGATGTTGACATCACTCGAAAATAAACACTCACTCACTCTCTCTCAGACACACACACACACACACACACACACACACACACACACACACACACACACACACACACACACACACACACACACACACACACAGTGTTTACTGTCACAGGTTTCCTGTTTTAACAGGATTTTTTTTCTTTTGTAACATAGTTTTTGTGATTATGAGATGGTGTTTTCAGGGTTTGATGGTTTTTGATGTGAACAGCGATGGGGACTGAACTCTTTTTTTTTTTTTAATCTATTTTACATATTTTCTGGTTCAGTCACCATGGAAACAAACAAACAAACAGAATTGACAACAGTCAATCAAAAAAAAACACACCAATTGATTAGCATAAGAGATCACTGTCACTGGGGCTGGGGAGGGGAAGTCGGGGGAGGGGCATGCGTGGCTTCTTCCTGGAAGCTGATTGGTTGTCTTTGTGTGTAAAAAAAGAACCAATCACAGACAGGCAGGGAAGGAAATGTTTATGTTTCTGATTGGTTCCAGCCAATCAGCTGAATTTTTCAGAACTGCCGTCCATCATCCTGGCTGCCTATTGGTCAGGGGGTAGATTGGGTGGGGCTTGAGGTGGGAGGGGCTTAACTGGCCTTGTGTTTAACGTGTAACATACACACACACAGACACGCACACATACATACACAGTGTGGCCAGTCCAACAGGTGTAAACAGTAGAAAAAGTATTATTGAACTTGCTCAGTGTCATCATCATCATTATTATTATTGACAGCGTGGTTATCGTAACTCTTCCAGCCTGTAGCTCGTCCATGGCACAGAACTAAAATTTTAACAGTAAACCCTTCGTTTCATTTAGGATGCTCCGATCAGTATCAGCTGATCATTAGTGAAAATGCACCGGTTTTTTTTTCCTAAAGGTAAAATTCACAAATAATTATTTAAAAAAACATAATGATATTGTCCTTTATATTATATATAAACAAATTTCTCTAGTTGACATATTAAAGCATATAAAGTAGCTGTTCTGAAGCTTTGGATCCTACCACATGTTCTCCCTTAGCAGATGGAGTGTGCCCAGTGTTGCAGAGGTTCCTTTTTTGTGTTTTTTGTTTTAACTTAGCTTGCCAAAATTTTAAATTAGAAACTGCATAATTAAGAAACATGTTTATAGGAAGTAGCCATTAATAGATGGTTTTCCACAAAATATTTCAAACTGTTACTTTTAATGGGAGGCAATGCATTCCCAAATTCCTAAGAAGATATGGACTATAGGCACTTTTGGACCAAAAAGCATCAAAGATGTATAGCTTTCCAAAATACACTTTCCAGATATACTAAGCTAAGCATGGTTTGCAGATTCTTTTCTATTCAAACTGCCTACATACCAAAGATGGACAATTTATTTTCCCAAGGAGACACATGCTAAACTGGGACTGTTTTGGAGCTGAAATAAGCTGAAATAAGTTCTGCTCAATATTATTTTTTTCTCTTTATAAGTTCATTGGTGCAGAGCTCCACACCAGTCCCAGTTTCTCATGGCCTCCTCCTGGAGCATAGATATGCAGAAGTGATGTAAAAGCTGAATAGCATTAAGTATACATGAAAAATCAAATTACCTTGCCCTCACACAGAGCCAAGGTAAAATTATTTCTCTGTGCTTTGCTCCATTTTTTAATCACTGAGAGTTTTATATACTCAGCTGATGTTACACCCATTTTTATGCAGGCTTTTTAAATGTACTTTTTTGCAATTACCTTCTGCAAATTTTAACCTAAACTCTTTACCACAGTGATTTATGTGTTGAAATGTTTTGAGTTGTGTTCTGTCAAATTTTTAGTATTCCTTTCTAACCATACTCGAATTTCTTTTAGAACTTTGGTGATGGCTAGCGGTTCTCCAATCGTGCATATCATGTGTATCTAAAAAAACTAACAAAGGCTTGTTTAACAAGACCAATAAAAATTTCTCTGGTCCGAAAGCACCTTATCTTTGTCTTTTCACTAGCTTCAAGCTGAGGCGCAACAAACATAAATATATATGCAGCTGCAGGTTTTCCTGCTCAGTAAAAACCAGTATTGTAGACATGATCAAAACAGCAAAAGGTGACCTCTAGCGACCACATAAGGTATTAACCCAAGAATGGCTCCTACAAGTATCATGTTTCAATGTCCAGCTCTGGTTTAAAACTTTAAAACAGTGTTCATCCAGAGACCAACATCTCTGCTCAAATGCTAACTTTTCTCATATTATTCATCTGTATAGCGGCAATGGTTAGTAATAATGTAAATTTTGTGAATGGCGTCATAAAATATTAGAACTGTCAGTTGTAATTTATGGAGAATTTAGGAAATTAAAGTGATAGAGAGCAGGTTACATAAAATATAGCAGCCGTTCAACAGTGGAGCCAAAGTACAAGCCAAACCTTGTACAGTTTTAGTTCAGTAAAGTGCATAATCGAACTTGACTAAGTGCTAGTTATTATTTTTCCAATAGAATGGTAAATAAGAATGCAACAATGTTAAAACCCCTCAAAGCTGTCTGTCAACCTCTGCCAACTATTTAAACCAAACTAGTGAGCCTTAGTGTCTGAATTTTATCTCTGGGTTGCCAGACGAACTAGCTAAGGAGGTCTTTCCTTTTGTACTGTTTAATTTGGATATCTCTTCAGGTTTCCATGTCATGTTGAGCATTTATTTTAAGGAGGTACATCTCATCATAACCTTATGAATCCAACCTTATGAATCCAACCATTTTTGAGCTCGAACTCTCTTTCTATCGTCATTTCCACTTATACCCTTTCTTCAAAACCTGCAGTTAACCAGAACCATTTTTATTCTCATCTCTTAAACCAACCTTCTGATACCGGTTTCTTGTGGGATCTGTACCTTCTTGTTCGAAAGCTTCTTTCTTTAATTCTATGTGGGGCAGTGCCTAAAACTACCTTTCCATCAACCTTCCAATGTCAAGCATAACTACTTGGAAAAGTTACACCTTCAGTAAATTCAGACTTACCGTCTTCTGCATTCTGAACAATCTAATTTTTAGTGTACTGAGGACCAGTTATTTCAGCTGGTTAAATATCAAATAGAAGACTTTCATAAGGATTTCTTATACACAAGCATAAGGATTTAGTAATCAGTATATGTTCAGTAATATCATCAGATGTAGACACTGATCAGAGCATCCCTAGTCTCCTTGGCAACTGTTATGCCCATCAGCAGGTTTCGGTATCTGGACTAGTGTCCCATCAGTCTTTGTGCTGCTGTGGATCTCGGCCAAATGCCACAAATCTGGTTCTAGTAGGCCCAGGATCCAGGATGGACTTCCCCAAGCACTGGCCATGGCAATGGCACAGTATCCATAGTTCCTTGGCCAGTGAGACCACAAACATGAACCATGCTTTGACCAGTAAGACAACTAGATTAGCCTCTGGTTTCACTAGAAACAATAGCCATTGTCCTGATCCCACTAAGACCAGTACCTGTGTGTCTTGGTATGCTAAGACTATTGGCTCAGGTGCTTGTTTAGTAGGACTTTGGTGGAACCTGGAACCATAATTCCAGAACCCATGTGTCTTCAACCTAGAATTCTAGGCTTCTAGAACCAGTAACCATCAATCTTAAAAGAGTAAGACCATTGGCTGCGGCACTGACTTCATAGGGATATATTTCTCGGCTTGTAGACCGTTAAGACTATTGGCTGTAGTTGTGGCTTCAGTAGAACCAGTAGCACTGGCTCTGGGCTAGAAGGACCAATAACTATTAATCTTAGACCAGGTAGGCCAGTAGCCCCAGTTGTGGCTATAATAGGATCATTAGAATTCTGGTTCCAGTGACACTAGTAATACCAGTATACAGAACTGGTTCAGGTTAAAAGGTGTGGAGTTGCTCCAGTCCATCACTGTGCTTTCAGGCTGCTTTAGCAGTTCAAGGGTCAAACTATAGTAGTCAAAGGTCATCCAGAGGGTGTGTGTAGCACCATGGGCGGTCTACTCCGAACCAGTTTAAACCAGTTTTAAATCAGTTTGATTCAACTTTGTTGTCCCCTTTTTCCTCACGATCTCTCCAGTCTGGTGTGGTTGAATCCAGTGTGACATAATTTTTGTCTGCTATAAGGAATTGTTTGTAACCTGCCCCATCCCAATCCCTGTCCCAAAGCCATCTCCTGGTTGGCTCCACTTAATTGGACCACTGTCCTCTCCCTGGCCAACAGAGAGCTCTGAGGATCCCAGGTCACTGCCAACTGGCTGAGAGGGGTGGCTGCTGTTGGTTGTGCCATCGGTGTGATTGGCCATCAGGGTAGAGGAGGAAGAGGATGAAGGGTTTCGGCTGATTACAAGCTCCAAGCGGTTTGGAGACTCTGCAATCAGGGGAACTACAAGGCAGCAGTCAAAGTCCCTGGTCCGCACATGGTTAATCTGTAAGAAAAAAGAAATCTTAATTTAAACCAAGAAATGAAGAGTTGAAGGCTGTGGAGAGATTAGTGAAACTGGTATATTTTTGTACCTGTAGTATTCGGTCATAGGCTTTGAGACCACCCCGTTCCGCTGGGCCTCCGGGTCGGATGTTATTAACATAGACGCCGCGGTCCAGCAATCCATCAGAAACGCTGAAACCAAAATCCTCCAGGTCTGTCGCCTTCTCCAGAGTGAGCTATGAGTACAAAAACACACCTGTCAGTTAATAAGGATCACAGGGTTTGTGAAACTCCCTAAAGAGAGCAAACACAGGCCAAACATTACCTTGTGAAGTTCCACAGGGTTCTGGTTTAGGATGTCATTTACTTCCTGTCTCATCTTCCTCATGGCGAAGGCTCGGCGCTGAGGGTCAGAGGGCAAGGTGTTGGATCGAGGAGTCACCTGAGAACAATCACAAGAAAGTTGTCTTCAAAATCAATATTTCACAAAATAACACATATCACAGAGAGAGGTTAAAGGTCAGCGGCATGTACTTGTGGTCTGGAGTTGCTGCGCTCCTGGAAACTCGCCTGGCGTCCCAGTGTGCTCCGCAGAGGGGTGGGATCATGGTTTAGACTGAGGGTGGAGCCTGACATGATGGTAGCCTATGAGAGTCAATCAGAGAACAGCAAGCGCAAACATCCAATCAGAACCGGATAAATAGCAAACATGGTAATTAAAGATTGCTGCCTTTGAACCCAGGTGGCAGGAAAGGACCTCTTTCTAATCATACATCACTATTATTTACTGTGCCTCTACTGATGTTTCTGAATTTCCATTCCTAGGATCTGCTGCTGTTTTTGAGCAGGCTCAACTGTTGTCACCATTGACTGTTTTAACTCATATTTACTGACAGGATCTCTTGTTTTGTACAGTTTAATGGCCTGTAATATGAAGCAGGTTCAACATAACAAAGAAAATCTGGCTTTGCTTACTCTGATATCAGCAAGCAGCCACACGAAGGTGGTTATTGGTACCATTCAGGTCTATACAGTAAACTGTTTGGGGGAGTTTTTTGGCATACACTCTTTATATTCCCAGTGTGTCATTATGTTTTCCAGTGCTTTTAGATTTCATTTTAATATTTATTAACTGGAATTTTCTAACCTAGCAGTAAGTTTGACAACACCTATCAGGAGCTGATGATCTCTCTATAATAAACACACACCAGCCACATTTTTTTTCTTTTTTTTAGGTAAACCTTGCTATTACCTGGTTGCAGAACTATCTTAATTCTTCGAAGTCCAAGTTGGAACTTCTTAATGTCATCTTGATGACATGTAGAAATGCACCATGTCATTTCTACATGATTGGGTGATTAGCTAATTGCTTTAACAAGCAGCTGAACATGTATACCTAATAAAGTGTCTGGTAAGTGTATATTACTCTATTTAAGGCTTATAGGAAAATAAAATTGCTTTAAAACGGCAGTTTTCCATTTTTCTTACTGGTCAGGGAAATAAAAACTACATACTAGTCATCAAGGTGTGAGGGATCTTCTAAGAATCAATACTGATTGATCAGTAGACTAAGGCTTTGTACATGCAGGTCTCTTATCTCAAGCATAGCCGACATAATCTAATAAGACATGAACTCTGAAAGCTCAGCATTCAACCTGAAGTTAGCTGTCTAATCATAAATCCTGCTTCGTAGTACAGACCTCTACAGATAGATTCTACTTTTGAGCTCACCCAGAGGATTTCAACTCTCTGACTGTCAATGTTTGATGATTGTGCTTATTTTCCACATCACACCCTTTTTTTTTTAAATGGCTAAACTTCCCAACCGATGCCCACTTCAGCCAATCAGAATCAAGAACTCATCAAACGCATGCATGACTGACAGATCTGCTTCATGACTGGCAAAAAAAAAAAAAAAAAAAACTACCCATGAGGCCTTGCGCAAGCTCTCCAAGCATGCCTTGCTCAAACTGCCATGCCTGGTGCAACAACATGACTCTGCCATGTGACTGTGTTTGGAAGCTGGGTGATGTCACTAAGATGTCACAATGACGTCACCATGGTCTGCTGTTAGAATGCAGTTAGAGTCACATTCAAAACCAGCAAACATGTCAGATGTTTGACAACGCTGGAGGTCCAGTTAGAGGAGACAGAAGAAGAGGAGGACAGGAGGAGTTAGTACAGGGGAGGGAGGATGGGGAATACCAGAGTGAGGAGGTGTGTCTCCTTTCCAGACTCCTGGAAGAGAAGGAGTCTCTTTTTTACTTCTGTGTGCCAGAGAAGGTATAAACATGTAGTTCTTTCAGCATGAATTGGACAAATATGACTAAACTTTGACTGTCAGTCCTCAGGGCTGAACAATAAGCCTCTCATCAGTGTTCACATCACTACATGATTATTTGTGTTAACAGTTTTTGTCCAGTTCAATAATTAAAGTGATCAATATTTCAGCTATATTTGGTTTGTCTTCATTCTTGTGGATGTGTGATGTGGTTTTTAAGTGTTTCTGTGGATAAGAAGAGCATTATAGTTGAGCTCATTACAGACTTCCAGCCTGTGTTGCTGTTCAGATCAAAATATCAATGTCATCCTGTAACAGTGCAGTGTATTGGGCACAGGAATGCTACAACTGTTTATTACAGAAGGTCTATACTGTAACTTCTCCAAAGCCAAGTGGGGAGACTTGATCTGGCTTGCTGTCCAAATGTTAAGTACTTGTGACAGTGTGGTGTATGGGTCACAAAAAGTTTATCTGTTTTTAAAAAATGCTTAATGAAGACTGTAAAAAGTTCACTTATGTTGAGCGTCTTTTTCAAATTGTGTTGAAATTGTGGACTTCAACCTACAAACCAGTTTTTAAATTGTGTTAATCAGCAAAGTAAAACCGCAGTTATGATAAATATTTTATGCCATACTTCCTCAAAACTGTCCTCATATTTAGTGCAGGAAGAAGCTATAAAAATGGGATTTTCTAAGGACAGTGACAGTTCTATCAGAGAGATTTATGACACTTAGTGTGTTTGGACTGTGTTCTTAGTAGTGGTGCAACGGATCAAAAATCTCACGGTTTGGATCAGATCAATTTTCGGATCAGCAAAAAAAAAAAAAAATGTTAACATTTACTTATTAACTTATTTAAGTCTTTTTAGCCTATTAAAAACATTCAACTCAAGACTCATTCCACGCAATTATATAAAAACAAATTAAGGTGCAATATAGGGCAGTGCAGGGCTTTGTATCTACCACTCCGCTGTGATATAACCAGCGGTCATGGTCACGTAGCTTTCCGTTTCCCTGGAGGTCCACCTATTTGTAGTTGGGCAACAGAAGATGCCTGGGACAGTTCAGCCATAACTTTAAACTTTTCCTGCTCATACATGCCTGGGTACGATCTTGTCACTGAAGTGGACGCGCAACGGGATATCATAGCGTGGCTCAAGCACGTTCATCACAGTTTAAACCCCTTGTTTTGCACAACGGAATACGGCCTTCCGTCTGCAGCTAAACACCCCAATAGCTTTTGTAATAGCTTTAGCCCGGTTGGACTGGGCAGCAAAGGGCTGCTTAAATGCCACAAACTCCTCTGCTCCTCCACTTGGACCGCTTTCGCTGACCATAACTATTGCTTAACAGACTGACCACGCGCACCATACACATACTTTTTTGAATCTTCGGATCACGTGCGTGCCGAACCGTGGAGTGGGATTGGTTCAGATAACGGATCAGCCGTGATCCGTTGCACCACTAGTTCTTAGTGTGTAGGGTAGTTTTTTTTTTGTTTTGTGTGTCATAACATTGAGACGACTACTGAATGTCACAGATGCCAGTCAACAATCCACCAATGGCAGACTGCAGCGTAAACGCTGTCTCCTGGTGATCCACAGGAGGAGTTTCTACACCTTCATGGTGTCAGGCCTGTGATGTGCCCCCTTGTCTTATGGTAGACAGGAATTTAATGTAAATAACTACCACATTTGTACAATTTGAAATTTACAATTTATATTTGCATTTCAATGTTTGTGGTTTTCACACTAATAAAGTCTAACTGTTGCAACTCTGATTTTTTTTGTGTGTGTGATTTTAGGTCAATTGTGTTAATACAGTATGTCAAAATGGAAAATAACTGTAAAGATATACATGTGAGATTTTATTGAAAGTAAAATCAAAAACCAAATAAACTCAACTCCAGAAGGTTAAAAAATTAGCCTTAATCCATCATCTTTTCAACATTTTTTCTATATCTTCTTTGAGAAAAGCCAGCCTATCAAACTTCACAGTGTAGGTGCTGGTATCCATACACCAGAGGGCGATGCAGAAAGGCATTAGCATCTGAGAATTCTTCATTTGCTGAATAAAAATTTCAGAAGCCTTACTCCTGCTAATACTCAACTCTTACTGTAAATACTTCTTCTACTGCTAACACTTCTCACTATAGTAGATTTCGTGGCGTTCCTCACCTCCAGCTCTCTGAGGATGCCGCTCTGTCCACAGGTCTCCAAGTCCTCCAGAGCCTGAGACCAGAAGTTCTCCTCCTGGTCTGGTTCTGTCCCATCATGTCCCACATTAAACCTGAGAGGGAAAGGTAACAGGTCAACCAGTCAGCATGATGGGCACACACACACACACACACACACACACACACACACACAGACACACACACACACACACACACACAGGAAGCTAGTGGTCATGCTGGAGAGTGTTTTTTTAACAGGAGGGGGCATGGGCAGTGATGACATACACATCCACCAGGTATTGATATCGGTGTGGCGGGGGTTAAAGGTCACCAAGTGAGGGTATCTGCTGGAGGTTACTGGGTGTCACAGAAGACTGTGTGTGAAGGGTTAAAGGTCAAAGGTCACTGTGGTACCTGCTGTCAGAGATTAGACCGCTGGGCAGATTACAGCCTCTGCAGAAAGACACACTACTGTTATTGCTGTTAGCTCAGTGCTACATACTCCATTGTTCTGGATGAGGAATGCTAACAGCTACAAAAGATATGCTGCAAAATGTATCCGTGCACATCCATCTTCAGGCCTCTCTTCTGATGTGCTTCTGGGTTTAAGGGTATACACATACTAGGCAAGCTGAGTTTGTTTAGACTGATCTTATCACACAGTTTGAGCATCAGTGTCATAGTTTCAGTGAACTGCGCCAGTTTGTGATGTAGAGGAGGAGGATCGAGTATCTGTACCCTCAGTATTTCATCTGTATCTGATAATTCATGGGAGAAAACTTGAAAAATTGCATTCTGAGTAAATTTGGAAATCACTATGTGGCATAAGTGGCTGCTCAAAACTAGTATGAAAAGCATATTAATCCTTCTCCCTCCTCTGTAACAGTTTTGAATAATTGTGTTGATCAAAGTACTTTAAGCCCTGAAAACAGCTTGATTAAACCTGGAACAGTTGAATACTGTCTGTTATATAACAAAGGTTATTACAGTTTTCTTTACTCAAGCTTTTATGTTTTTCACTGTGCCGTTCACTCAGTCTCTCACCCTCCGAGAGGTGGCCGGTCCCAATCATCGTCATTCAGACCCAGATCCGACAGTGGATTGGCTCTCTGGCGAGTGGAAGATGATGATTGGCTGTTGCTTGTCTTGGCGCTGCGCCACTCGTGGAAACTGTACAGTGACGACTGAAAAGTAGGAGCTACACACACCAGCAAAGGAGAAGTGTTTCATTACTGAGGCATTAATGAGGTCAGCAGAGGTCAGAGGTCGGTCCCTACCTGGGGTGGTGAAGCTGCTGTCCATGTTGGATCCATCCCAGGACTCCACAGCGCTGTCCACGGACGGCAGTGTGCTGAATGCTCTCTGGCTTGTCGGAGGTGCAACCATGACAACAGGCTCCTCCTCCCCATCCTGGTTCTCCAGGTTAGGCCCCACTCCTGGCCCCAGACCCGAACCAATCACGCAAGACTTTGGGCTTGACACTGCAGACAGACGGAGTACGTTTGTCAAACCACCAATGTGCGTTCGTGAATATAAATGTGTAAATCTGTAACTCCACTGGAAGTGACACTGTGTCCCGTCCCTTTAATGAGCTGTACGTTCAACTCTTCCCCTACCGCAAGGGGTCGCCACAGTGTTATGGGTAGCTCTGCATCTTTGATTCGGGAGCTTTATTCCCTTCCAGACAGAAAAGAAGGGACTGAAAAGGGGACTTTTCGCTTGTTGGGTGCTAGTTTGCGCCACCAAACTATGGAGCCACTTAATGACCTGTACAAATAACGACCATCATTCAAACCTCTCCATGAGGTGTTAACAGCAGCGATGGCATAAAAGTGCAGGTTATAAAACTTCCCTAATGAAATCTTTAAATTACGGTAAATTATATTCAACATGTGCTCTGTGGAGGACTGTTTATAAAAATGGTTCTAATTCTTGAACAGTTAATGTTTAACTTTGTCAAACAGCCTGAATTAAAGCTTAAAGTCTGACTGTTCGATTTAACATCCAAACCACCGCCACAACTTCAAGCTGGATAAAACACAAAGCAATAAAAAGGAAAGTTGATGCCGAGGAGGGAGACTGGGTTGTCAGTTTCTTTTTTTCAAAGATCATAACTGGTGCTGATATTTTGATGTTTGAATCATTTGAGTCACAGAGGGGGAACAGAGGCTTCAGAAAGTCGCTGAAGTGGAACGATGCATTCAGCCACTGCACAATGTGTCTCTCTGAGGCCATCTTAAAGCCATGGAGCTGTAAAAGGAGGTTTCCTTTTAATGTGCAGCCGGTTTCACAGCAGAAGGCTTGGCAGTTTGGTACAGGTAACTGCACGATCAAAAAGCTTTTACTTTTCTTTCTGTTTAAAATGAAAACTCCCACACAGCTGCTGTAAGATCAGGACTAGAAAACAGTCTGTGGGCTGCTTGTGTGCAAGAACAAAACTTATAAGTTATTATTTTGCTCTTATATCAGGACATATTTGTTACAATTAAATGTCCAAAGCTGGTGAAACAGTTGGTCGTGAATTATTCTGCTTTATTAATAGTTTATAAAGGCTACTGAGTGATTGTTACTGGTTAAGTAAGCTGTATGAGACACACTACACAAGCCTGGCTCTTGATGTGAATCTCATTTCCTTGTGTTTTGCATTTGCTGTTGATGCTTGTGATTATGAACGGTGTTTATGGTGTGAAAAAAGCGTCTACGTACGTTCTCCCTGCTTCTTGATCTTCAACGTGACCGTCTCGCCCGCCTGCTGCAGCAGACTGATGGCTTCACTCAGAGGTTTCCCCTTCAGGCTGCTGCTGTTGATCGCAAGAATACGGTCGCCTACATGGATCGCACCAGTCCTGTAAGCAACACCAAAACACACAGAAATATACACTCAGGGTTCAGCAACTCAAAAATCATACTTGACAAGACTTTAAAGAAGACTGGAACTGAGTTAACAGTCTCAGGGAAACACAAATATACTTATACACAAAATAGAAATGAGAATCATTTCTGTAGGAAAGAGGTGAAAACCCAATTGATGATGAGGAAAATAATTATTTTTAAACAGCAGAGGGCGACACTCTCCACTTCATCTGGCATCCTAAGCTTATCATGTCTGTCACGGTTTCACTCCATATTTCATTCCTCCAGTCACTGATGTTATTTTTAGAAAGATGAAAAATCTTTTCTTATTTAAAATTTCCTTAATTTTTTTATAGTGAGACCATTTAGATGGCCTGCGCTGATACTGTATTTCTTATTTTATACATCATTAAACATAATCCCTCAGATTTAGGCAGCCAGCTTTAGCATTTCCTCTGTTTACGACCTTTGACATAAAGATGGCGTTTACACAAACAACCCTGGTTCTAAGCTTCTTAGTGTCTGAGTTTCTGTAAATAAAATGCCGTATTAAGCACAGAATGGATTTAATACTAATCCAGAATCATACATAACACCTGCAGGGAACTACTAAAGACAATAGAGCCTGCACTAATGATAATAATAATAATAATAATAAACATCTATTTATGGTACTTTATAGTGAATAAATGCGATCCTCCAAATAGCTGAAAAGAACAGAAAACTAGATGTGCTGATTAAGTGATTAAATAATCCACAACCTTGACATGTTTTCTACAGGTGTGACCTGTAATTAATTTTTTATGTAATGTAATTAGAGTTCATGTGCGTGCACCTCTCTGCCAGCCCCCCCTTGCTCAGAGAGGAGATGATGATGGGGTCGAAGGGCTCCTCGGTGCCTGAGATGGTGATTCCCAGCGGACCACCATAGCGTTGAAGCTCCACTGTGTAAATGATGCTGCCAGACACCTCCTGTTCATCTGGAACATTCAATAAAGATTGATTCCACATAAGGTCAGTGGTGAACAGATGATCAGGAGAAGATGGCATGGGAAGGGATGATGTGGTGACACAGACTAAAACACGCTAAAACTAAGCCAGAAGTGCAACGTTTGTCCTGAAAGTAGCATTAGACACCTCCTTTAAACCTTGAGTAGGTTTTCAGGGACTTAAGGGCCCTGTGTACCCTTAAGAGCGGCTGAGGACATTTAGAAAACCTTGACTGGGATCTATATCGCCATTAAAATGTTCTAAAGGTTATCAAGGTCCAGGGTCTGCCATAAGTTTAGTGAAATCCTCAATCAAGGTCAAAGTATTCAGCAATGTTTGAGTTAGTTTTGAAAAGAAGAGCCACCCTGGTAAGACACTTGAGAGTCCTTGAGGAGTTGATGGCAGATTTCAAGCAAACAGTTTGCTTTCCAGTCGTCCTTTAGGACGGTTGACGATCCGGCTCTACATCTAGTAGTAGTAGTTCTAGTAGTACCTTAGTAAATTTCTGTTCGTCCTTATGGACGATCGAGTCGATTTAGAAAATATGAATGGGGTCCTGAAGGATTCAGGGATGTTCTAGTTGGTGTTGAAGATACTTAAGATTGTGCTGGTCCCTTAGAGTCACTGATAAGGTTTGAAAGAATTTGGCCATCCTGAAGATCACCAACAAGATCCTAAATGTTTTTGAGAACATTCATTTTTTGGAAGAAGATTTCAAGAATAATGGATTAGTTTCTAGTCCTCGAAGACTCCTGACAGTCAGGTTGTGATCAAGTTACGATTAGATTTCATGTTTAAAGAGGTTTTAAGTTTAACTTAAAATGATACAAGACAAATGATTTCAAATCAGCTATTGATCTAGAGAGTTTAGGACCCCATCAGGACTCTCTAAAGTACAATAAAACTGTCATAAAGATGCTAAAGATCTCAGGATTGTCAGAAGATTAGTGAAGATTTTATGAGCACCAGTTTGGCTCCTACATGCTTTTAAGTACCACTGTCTTTTCACTTATTCAAAAGGATTTAGGTGTGACTGTTGGTGTTGCTAAAGCTCTTTAAATATGATCTTTTGAGGAGAATTTGGAAAGGTCCCACAGCTTATTAAAGTTGGCAAGTAGGTCACCACGGAACGACTCTAGAGGTTCTTTTTAAGGAGGATTAATGATACTGTGGGCATCCCTGAAAGCTGGTTTATCACTCGGCCTCTTGCTTTTGGGAATAGACTTAAAAGCGATACCAGAGTTGTCTTCATCTTTGCGGATCTTCAGTTTGACGAGCTCCTCACACTGCTGGAGGATCTGAACAGCTTCCTCCATGGAGCAGTTCTCCACACGGATGTTATCAATGGCCAGCAGCTTGTCTCCCAGCTCCAACGTCCCCGTCCTGAAAACACATTCAGGTAAATTAGAGGAACAAGTTTAATAAAGAAGTCAGCTGAGATCGTTATTATGTCATATTATCATAATCATGACTGCAGTGCATCTGCTTTATGGACAGGATGGAATTTTGCATTAATATCAGTTCTTCAACATATGAAATATAACCTTACAAATTTTACATGAAGATATGTTAACTTGTACATGAAATAGGAGTGAAGATATTGCTTTGGGTTTAAACCACGAGGTACAACTTAAACCAATTTTTTAGGCTTTATTTGTTTACATTTTGGGAAAATTAATCCCAATCATTTTACCTAATATCAGTTCTTTTTTAGTTTGTAAAGGACATCGAAGCTGGAAGATATCCTCTGAAATTGGTCCAAAATCTTGTAAAACCGCCGGCACTTTCTTTTCCGTATGAAGGTCTATAACTAGTCCTCTGCTTCCTGTTTCTAAAAGTCCTGCAGAGTAAACAGATGCTACCTGCCAGCAGAAGCCCTTTAGCTCATATTCTGCTTCACAGTCCAAAACACATGACCTACAAACCACGACATGCACAGGCCTGGACCGTTAGCCTAATTAACCAAACACGTACAGGCGGCAGTCTGAGGTTTAACACAGCTGACACTATTTTATTTTAGCCTCACATACTGTGTGTAGAGTTCAGCCTCGGTTAGGTTTAAGGCTGGATTAGAGTTAGTTTAGCCATAGTTTGTGTCACCTGTGTGCGACGCTGCCTTTTTTGATGTCCGAGATGATCAAAGGATCACCTGGTTTCCTGTTGGACGGAGCTGCAGACACACAAAGAGACGAGTTGAAGATGAAACAGAAAACTAAATAATTAAACCTGTTTACACCACTACAACCAGAAGTAACGATTAAATGTTAAAGGGGAAAAGTAAAATCAAAGCAGGAAATGTAATATTGAAGTGACACCCAAGAGGAGGTCGGGCTGGATCTGGTCTGATGAAATCTGTCTTTCAGAATGAAAATTTAATTTCCCCGATGTGTAAACATGATGAAACACCAAATTAAATCATTTAATAAAAAATAAAACTACTGTCACTGACAATAAAAAGACTTTTATAATATTCTAGTTGCTTGTTTTGGCATTGGCACTCTTTCTTAATAAATAATTAACACAGAGCTGTGTTACTAATAAAGTCCATCTAAACCATCCACAGTAGCGACCTCACATTAGTGTACGTGTTTGCGTAGTCGTTTCTCTTTACTTACAGCTGATGGTGATTCCCAGTTCCACTCCTGGTTTCTTTGGGAGCTTTACGTGGAACGTCCCTGAACTGGGGATGACTGACTCTGTGCAGAAAGATGGAGACATTTCAGCAGGAGAAATGTTTAATTTACTGTGAAATACATCAGAAGAGGAATAAAGGCTTTCTGCTCAACATCTTCTCAGTCAGAATCAGGTGATTAAGCTTCTGTTCGAGGCTTTAATCATACGCTCTGTATACAGTCCTGCCTGGCTTGATGAGAACCAGGGTCTCAATCTTACTCACACTTGGTTTAACGGTTATAAATACAGGAAGAAATAGAAATATTTTTTACTCAGAGACCTCAGCAGACATGTGGAAAACAATTTCAATAACAGTCAATGATTAATCACAAAGTGAGCTCATAGGTACGACGTATATGTTAGCTGTCCATGTATTAAACCTGATTCTACATAACTTAGAGGACGCATCATGCTCTCAAATGTTTATAGAAGATCAAAGTTCAAAACTTAGAGGTGATCATACATAAAAATCTTTCCTGCAAGTCAAAAATCTTTAATGCACCATTTGTGATGACATCTGTCTGTTTTGTAGCTATTATGTTAAGAATGTTCAGGAAGTCTTTTGTGCTGTCCATTTGTACATTTTATTAATTTATTAAGTGAAGTATTGAGATTATTAATTGTTAATATCAACACTGACTGATAGAGACAAAAAAAGACTGCTACAGATTCACACTGGCCGTAGATGCTGACAGTAGGTGACGTAACATTTAACTTCACCATTATTAGATGACGCACAGCTATATCGCTTCTTCGCTACCATTCGGTACAGTAGACTGGACATCACAAAATAAATTGGGAGTTAATCTTTTACATAAGCCTTTGTTTATAACTGGCTATGAGCATGTTCATAAACATACATCCACTGCTTGGTCCCTTTATTCCGAATATCCAAAGCACTGTTAAGAACTCATGTTAAAACTGAAAATCCAGATGATCTTCTAATTATTAAAAAAAGCTAAATTGATCTGTTCTTGTTGAATTATCCTGTGTAAAGATTATCTATTACTCACTTTCCATAAAATCAATCAGCATAGATGATGACATTATAGAGATTTGTAAAATAAATGATTGTAGTATTTGACTCCTTGCAGGTTTTGGAAGATGGCCCCTTGGACTGACTTCAGTTATGATGCTTTCAGGAAGTGAGGAAAATGTTCTCAGCCTTATGTTTCTCTGGGAAATAACATCCACGGTCTATATTCTTCTTTTGGTTAAATAGTGACTCTGACTGTCCTGTAAATGACATCTCATACAGTTAACCGTCCTGCAGCTACAAATCATACAATATGCCTGTGAGTCACTACTGACAGCTTGTTGTGTCGTTCTATTAAACTCAGGCGTAGGTGGTTATTTACACCAGCTGGAGTACGTTACATCCACAAAGAGTCTGACAAATTACAGAGAAGCAGAACCAAACACAGACTGGCAGTCAGTCAGCCAAAACACAACGACACAGAAAACAGATGTCTTTGCCCAGCAGACAGACATTCACCAACAAGCACAGTTTTCAGTGCTGATCAGAAGCATGAAAACACAATTCTGATAAAATGATTTTTTTTTTTACCAGCTACATCGAACTCAATTTCCAGTGTGAGCTGAGCAGTGATGGACGAGTCTCTGAGAAGCTGATTGGTTTCTTCAAGGGTCGAATCTTCGGTTGGAACGCCGTTTATGGATAAGATCCTGTCACCGATCTGCAGGATGCCACACCTACACATATATACACAAATATCTGATCACTGGAGCTCTCCTTACAATACTGTAGAGTCTGTACAGAAGGACATGAGGTAATGGCATTTTGAACTGGTGCTGCAAACATAAAATGCAAAGCTGCGATATAGAAAATAAAAATTATATATATGTTACCATGATTATCAATAAAGACAAAATATTAAATATTTCCAAATTTCACAAAAAAAACTGAAAATTGGGGGGGAAAGTTCAAATCTGAGAAGCAAGGGCAAAAGAATTTTTTCTCAAATTTTTTTTAAAGCCATCATAGCTGTGTCAGTGTGTTTACCTCTCAGCGGGGCTGTCGGGGTCGATGTAGGCAATAAGTGGCGGGGATGACAGCGTTTCCGTGGCGAACACTCCTCCCTGCAGTTGCAGGCCAAACCCCATGATGCCGTCGCCAAGCAGCGTCACCTCGGTGGTTTCCGTGTGGACTACCTGACCGGCCAGACCCACAGTGCTGGACGCCAGGGACACTGCCAGAAACAAAGATTATTCTATTTTTTAGTCTCATTTTCCTCCCGTCCTGTGACAGCACCTCAGTCCTGTCCTTGTTTTCTGTCATACATACGCTGTTAGAGGGTGCAAGCTCATATTAAAATGCCATGGTTTAAGGGTTTGTAATGTTTTTTTTACATTTTGTTGGTCATTATTGGTCATGTTATGAATTCATGTCTAAAACCAGCTAATAAAATAATAAGATTTGTTGGATTTGGAGACAGACTCACAGGAGCTCTTAAAGTCCTTTTTCTTGCCCTTCCTCCTCATCAGTGTGCCCCGTGGACTTGTGGGATACATGTTCCTGGGCAGGGTGCTCATGTTGAGGGAGGAGAGGCTATAGGCCGACATGGAGCCTGGAGAGAAGGAGTGGCTGAGCGCTGCAGAAAGAGAGAGGGCTGATGAGGAAAGGTCTCTCTCTCTCAACAGAAAACATGAGAGAGAGTGAGAGAGGTGCACGTACGAGGATTGTTTGTATGGCGGTTGTGCGATCTGGCGCCTGATTGGTCAGGGTGGTACGTGTTGTAGTGGTAGGGGGGGAGGATAGGGGCAGAGCCTCCGGTCTCCCAGGGGAGGGGGCGGGGACTACGCTGCACCTTGACTGCACAGACACACACAGAGGAGGGTGTTTAGGTTAAGACAAGAGGAAAGGTCAAAGGTGAGGCAGGTGCTTGGATCACAGCATCGAGATACCTCACTGGGAAGCCAGATGAGGAACTGTCATGCATACACAGGTGTGTGTCTTTCACGGCTTTATAAAAAGATTACTCCTCTCTTCACATAATCTTTTATAGGGCTTCTTGAGTGTGTGTGTGTGTGTGTGTGTGTGTGTGTGTGTGTGTGTGTCTCTATACTGGTCTGTGGTGCATTCAGGGCCTTGTCGGATGTGATGTGTGTACGTTTATACCGTGCTGTGGTGCGTTCAGGGCTGGTCGGGTCTGGTGTTGTGGCAGGATCTCCAAGCGGACGGTCTGACAAGAAGCAGAAAGCAGCTGAGTGGCTTCAGCCAGGGAACAAAACTCCATCGACTTCCCATCAACGGACAGGATATGATCTCCTGCATGAAGAGCACCACACCTACACAAAAACACAAAAATAAACAGAGAATTTAAACCTGAACTTGGACAAAACTCATAAGTTAAATTTCTGCAGTTAAAAGTGCAACAAAATATTTCAGTTTCTGCACAAATACTGAAGTTAAAGTGTGACTGAATGAAGCTGAAAGATGACAAGGTGGTTAAAATAACCAAATTTACATAGAATCAAATAATAAGATAAGAAAACGGTGGTAATATTAGTTAATAAGCTGAAATTCCACTTTAGGCAAAATGAAAGCAGCTGGAACGATGCTCAATACGTGAAATCAATAAATAATAATAATAAAACAATGCAGTTAAAACAGTAAAACAGCATCAGGGTCAGAGGTTAGATACCTGTCTGCTATACTGGCTGGTTTGACCTTGTCGATGATGATGACCTGCTTGTTGCAGAACATGGAGGTGGACAGGGCCACACCCAGGCTAGACCCTGCCGCCTTGGCAACTTCAACCAGCAGCGGCCCTGATGCCGTGGCAACAGAGTCTGAAGGAGGGAAAACAGACAAAGTTTTTACAGTTTTTACATCGTGTAATTTACAAACGGTCCAAACGGTGTTCATCAGGGTTCCATCCTGGGTCCTGTTTAATTTTATGTAAAAGTTCCAAATAAACTAATCATCTGAAATCTTTATAATTCAGATGATACTCTTCTTTACATGTTGGTAAATTTTTAGAATTTTACTCTACACAGTACAAAGTACAAATGATCTTTTATTTTAACCAAAAATCACATTTTGGGTTTCAGATAATAAATACAAAATAATACTTCTCATGCACTGTTTCCTAATGTTAACGTTAACCAAGAACAGGACTTCACATAATACAGTTGGGATCAAAAGTCTATATCGACTTAATCATGTGCATGAGTGTTATGGAAATTCCAGTATCTATTAGTAACTGTTCTTTTTCCAGGGTTAAATGATTGTGCAGCATACATCTTTAATTACATAAAAAATAAATAAATAAATAAAATTAGCTGCACAAGTTTGAATTTATTTTGGATTTTCTCTACTCCACAGTGCCCCTAAAAAAAACCATGTTTCTGCCATAATTCGGGCTAAACGTTTGACCAATCATCTTGGCAGAATTGATACAGTTCATTTAAACTGACTGGTTTCCTGGGACATACACTCAACAAAAATATAAACGCAACACCTTTGTTACTGCTCCCATTCCCATGGGATGGATGTAGAGACCTAAAATTCATTCCAGATACACAATATAACCAGCCCTCCCAAACAGTGGTCACAAATCAGTCCAAATGTGTGGTAGTGGGCACATCTGCTATATTGAGATAATCCATCCCACCTCACAGGTGTGCCACATCAGGATGCTGATCTGACATCATGAGTAGTGCACAGGTGTACCTCAGACTGCCCACAACAAAAGGCCACCCTGGAATGTGCAGTTTTTTGCACTATTGGGGGTCTGGGGACCCAGAACCGGTCAGTATCTGGTGTGACCACCATTTGCCTCATGCAGTGCAACACATCGTCGCATGGAGTCTATCAGATTGTCAATTGTGGCCTGTGGAATGTTGGTCCACTCCACTTCAATGGCTGTGCGAGGTTGTTGGATATTCGTGGGAACTGGTACACGCTGTCGTATACGCCGGTCAAGCACATCCCGAACATGCTCAATGGGTGACATGTCCGGTGAGTATGCTGGCCATGCAAGAACTGGGACATTCTCAGCTGCCATCTGCCCTGAACAATGTGAACCATGATTCATCCGTGAAGCGCACACCTCTCCAACGTGCCAGACGCCATCGAATGTGAGCATTTGCCCACACAAGTCTGTTACGGCGACGAGCTGGAGTCAGGTCAAGACCCCGATGAGGACGACGGGCATGCAGTTGAGCGTCCCTGAGACGGTTTCTGACAGTTTGTGCAGAAATTGTTTGGTTGTGCAAACCAATTGTTCCAGCAGCTGTCTGGGTGGCTGGTCTCAGACGATCTTGGAGGTGAACCTGCTGGATGAGGAGGTCCTGGGCTGGCGTGGTTACACGAGGTCTGCGGTTGTGAGGCCGGTTGGATGTGCTGCCATATTCTCTGAAATGCCTGTGGAGACGGCTTATGGTTGAGAAATGAACATTCAATGCACGGGCGACAGATCTGGTTGACATTCCTGCTGTCAGCATGCCAATTGCACGCTCCCTCATTGCTTGTGGCATCTGTGGCATTTTGCTGTGAGACAAAACTGCACATTCCAGGGTGGCCTTTTGTTGTGGGCAGTCTGAGGTACACCTGTGCACTACTCATGATGTCAGATCAGCATCCTGATGTGGCACACCTGTGAGGTGGGATGGATTATCTCAATATAGCAGATGTGCCCACTACCACACATTTGGACTGATTTGTGACCACTGTTTGGGAGGGATGGTTATATTGTGTATCTGGAATGAATTTTAGGTCTCTACGTCCATCCCATGGGGAATGGGAGCAAAAACAAAAGTGTTGTGTTTATATTTTTGTTCAGTGTACTTATGGTCTACTCTCTTATTATTTTTCTACTTACAGAAAAACATTAATGAGTTCTGCAGAACACAAACTTACTTCTTTAAATTGCTTTTGTCATTCAATGAACATCTCAAAATTGTATCTAATATCCACATATCAGGATGGACACAAATTCGAGCTCAGCTGCAGTCCTGGCACACTGTTTGGCATCGTTTCTCATCTGTAAGCCCCCTGGCAACCTACCTCTACCCAAACTTTCCATTAAATGTAATTTCAAATTTAATAACAATAAATGTCAAAACCAGTACAAGCAAGATTTCAGCTTGAATCCCCACAACCTTCTCCTTTTCCTGCACAGTTCTGATGTTAACTGATTAACGCTTTAAGCTCTGCTGGGAGGGGACACTGATGACTGACCCATCACGGAGACGTCATACTCAATCAGCAGCGTGGCCTCCTGTCCACACTGCTTCAGGATGCTCATGGCCTCTGAAAGTGTGCTGCCATGGAGACGAATCCCATCAATGCTTAACAACCGATCACCTGGCTTGATGGTTCCTTCCCTGCAGGTAAAAGAGAAAGAGAACAGTTTTTAGTCTGTACAAAGGCTCCCAAGGGACAAAAATCAGACAGACAGGTCAGAGGCCACGTACCGGTCTGCTGGGCCGCCTGGCCGGATGGTTGTAATGACGATGGGACGGGACTTGTTCCTGTCTTCATGGGCTCCACCTGCAAACACGCGGTCACATCACCATGTTTATTTTGATTTATTCTAAACACACAAACAGAACTCGCCTCACCTCTGATGACGAAACCAAAGCTGTTTCCTTCTTTGTGAAGCGTGACTTCCACATTCTTAAACATGACCCCTGACCCCTGCACCGCTGCAACACACCAGAACATCAACAACACGTCAACATTGCAGCCGGCCGGGTGCAGCTGAGTGTACACGTCTTCTGCTGGCAGAACTTACAGACAGGCGGCAGCTCGTACTCGACCTCCAAGACGACCCGTTCACCCACGTTCTTCAGCAGACTGATGATCTCATCGTGTCTGAACTTGGCCAGGTTGATGCCGTTGACAGACCTGATATAGTCGCCCACGTTCAGCTGGTCACTCCTGAGCAAACAGCCAAAACATCAGCTTTAATTTTACTTAATCAAACCTTAATGAGTCCGTTTAAGAAGAGGCTGTTCCAGAAAGGATGCTGCTAAACATTAATAACTGCCACTGCTGCACCAATATCCATTAATCAGTCACCCAAAGTGTTCTGTGTCATTTTTGCTCATTGTCGCTTTGTAGCTGGTAGTTGATCGTACATTGCAGGCTCCTGCTGCAGCCCAGTCACCTATGCCTAGAGGGTAACGGCTGAGAAAAATATATATTATCAGGCTGGTTAAAGAGGGGTTGCTGGAGGTTGCTGGGAAGCCAGGGATCGAACCACCAACCTTCCAATCAGTAGATGACCCACTCTACCACCTGAGCTACAGGCTACAGCCACCCCTGGAGCCCACTATGTGGAATATTCATGTAATCTATAGGTTTTCACTAAGTACAAAGTGATGTAGAACACGTTTTGTCTTTTTAATATCTTATATCAGATTGCTCATCCCTTTAAACAACTGAAAATACCTGGCACAACTCCAAAGTTAGTCTCAATGGCGATTCTTTGTTTTTTGGCTCAAGTCCTAAAAACACAAAGACCAGATGTAGAAGACATTACCGGGCCGCGATGCCTCCCTGCCGCAGGTTTGAAACTCGAGGCTTCCCATCTTTGTCGATTCCTCCTGAAACTGTCAGCCCGAGCGTCGTCCCCTCCTTCTTCATCAACTCCACCACCGTGCATCCCCGAAACTCATCTGCAAAAAGGGACATGGGATGAACTGAATGCTCTTCCTCGCCATTAAGGATTTTTTTCTTTTCTTCTTCCAGTAAAAATTATTCCTATTTGCTTTTTCTTCTTCTTGACTGCATAGCTTCTACTCTCTTTATTTAAGCATGGAAAAAAAAAATAATAATCTGGATAAAAGGAGAAATGAAGTCATCCTCTGTTCTGTCATCCATCTATATTTCATCAAACAGATGAAATATTTAACACACACAGAGAGAGACAGAGACAGAGAGAGAGAGAGAGAGAGAGAGAGAGAGAGAGAGAGAGAGAGAGAGAGAGAGAATTTCAGATCAGACCTGCTACGATGGGCTGTGACCAGTTATAAGGTAATGAAACTGAAATCAGGTTCATCCTCTTTCATACAGGCAGGATTAAGACGATCAGTCTTTGGCAGTGACCATCATCGTCTCCTCTTCACTCATCTTCCTCCTCCAAAGAGGCTTTACAAAAAAAGCAGCAGCGCCCTTTTCAACTTTTCGAAAACGGCACAGCTGACTCACACTCGGAAATAGAAAACCCTCAAATCTCTGATAAAAAAAACAAGATGAACAAGTTTCCTGCAGCGGCGCTGGTGTCAGCAGCGCGGGGGGGGTTTAAAGTAGAGCTGGGCGATATGAGATTTTTTCATATCACGATATGTTTTTTTCATTTCAGGCGATAACGATATCTATCACGATATGAGCCAAATAACTATATTTGTAAGATTTAAATGTGCCGTTGCTCACAAGTAAAATGTGAAATAATCAGCAGCTTGTTTTTATTTAAATATTTATTTCCCATAATAAGTTCAACAGGGTAGATGTACTTAAGGAACATGAGACTTTTTCAGATAAATAAAGGCAAATATTGCAAACTACACAAAAGGCAGCCGCTAAAGCGTTTAAGTTTCAAAATAGAACAAACAAAACAGACTAAATTGTCAATTCCACTTAGAAACAAAATATTAATTCTAAAAATAAATCTTAGTTTGTTTTACAGAAGAACAGACAAAACTAACTTTTGTCAATATCAAATAAACTGAGAACTAAAAGGAAATTCTCAATCTCTCCTTGTTGTATAGCTGAGCTTTTCAAACAGTTTTAACAGTTACTTTAGTCTGACAAAAGCCGAATGACGAATTAGCGCTTCCAGTCAGAGACTGAGGCTACGTCCACACGTACACGGGTATTTTTGAAAACGGAGACTTTCCGTTTTCGTTTTAAAAAATAATCCCGTCCACACATAAAGGCAGAAATGAAGGAAAACGCTGCTAGGAACATGCCAAAGCAGCAGGTGGCGCTAGATTCCTAACCGTACCGAAATGTTGGCCAATCAGAAGTCTAGAAGCCTCGGTGGGAAAAAGTAAACAAAGCTGGGGCATAGAAGCAGAACCGAGTCGTATGTGTGGACGGACAGTAACTGTGTGTATATGTAAGCATTTAAACACTGCAGAGAGTAGAATTAACAGTAACAGTATTGTAGAAATTCATTTCACCGAAACAATAACGTGGCGCACAGTGTGACGCATGCACCAGTTTATTGTATTTCCAGACTTGCTTTCGGAACAATTTACAGTGCGCGCTACTCTGTTTTTTGTCAGACTTGAAATAGCCGAAATACCTTCACACTACGGAACTTCTATGGCTCTTCCGTTCGACAATCTCTCCGGCATTGGAACCATCATCTGTTTTCTCTTCGGTCACGCTCGGTTGATTTTTCTAGTCAGCACACTCATTTCCTCCATTATGCGCTGGCTCCATTACCCGCTGGCTGCTTCCCAAACAAACACACGTGCGGCGTGGCACTTGTGCTGTACGTAACAAGTCACGCGACGTGACGCTGCGGCTGTGATTGGTTCGGCTCTGCACTACTTGATTTGGATTGGCTGACCCTTTTTTTTTTAAGAGGACAAGAGCGGCGAGGTCTATCGCGATAGCTTAATTTCTCTATCGAGTAAAAGTTATATCGCGATACATATCGTTATCGTTCTATCGCCCAGCTCTAGTTTAAAGTTAGCTTTACGCTGAAGGAAGCAGCACAAAGTTTCCCTCAAAGGAACAGAGCTTTGTTAAAGAGTTTAACATCAGGGGTATCTGGGCTAGGAAATCCAGACTGTATATGATGATTTAGCCTCTACGATGTCACCCACTCGTTTCTACAATCCGTGTTTTCAAGCTTCAGTATTAGAGCTCTGGTGTTTTTGGAGTAAGAAATGACCATATTTGAAGAAGAGGGTGCTAAGCTTATCAGCTAATATTGGTTAGTTTCATTTTTAAGGGCGGTTACCAATGCTGCACTGATACATTTGACCAATCACAGTACACTTATGTCCCTCAAAGTCTTTCTAATCTAGCAAAGGCACCCACTTATACTAAGAGCTGAGGAAAGACCTAAAACTGAAGTTCTGACGTCTACGATATCATCCCTAGGCTGTCTCTGACGTCAGTCTGACGGCTCTCCAAATCAGTGATGCAATTTTTATTCTCACAGAATTTTTGATTGTAGCACAAAGACATCACAAGTAGGACACCAGCTCCAGGTGGGAGGAGATAAACTGCGACTGCAAGCATCTTCCTCTTCAGGTCACAAAATGGGAAACATCAGCTGTTTCTGAGCGTGCTCTATTTTCAGCTGTGTTAATGAGCTCAGCTGGTGGATTCAGACACTTTGATTATAAAAATGTTTGTTACCTGGTATACTCTGCCTCCTGATGGCCAGCGCTCCATCTGGAGGTCGCGACCCGGCGGAGTGTTTCGTGTACGGCCCTTCATCTGGAACACAAGGAGACATGCAAGAATATTACAGACTGGATCCAGACTTTAACTGGTTCCAGTAGCTAGAAGTAACGCCTCATAAGGCAGGTTCTTTTCAATAGTTTGGACACAGTGGCTCTGATGGCATATAAACCCCCATCATCACCTTGCACTGAGTCCAAATCTCCATTTCCTCTTGTAGAAGGTACCAGACCTTAACCATTTACTCTAACTTGTTTCTAACCAGATCTAACTGGATCAATCGGGTCCTTTGACTAGTTTTAAAGCCTTTCCTAAAAACTGGTTAAATAGTTGGGATTTTTTGACAGAATGGTTACAGACCTTCCTCAATATTGGTATCTGACCTCTACCATCTCATCAACATGGTCTGTTTGATTGGTTTGGAGACTCCACTAGTGTCTGTAATTGGGTATAAACATAAACCAATTTCTTCAACTGGTCTCCAAGCTCAGATTTTTCCTCTAAGCGACCCTTACCAATTCAAACCTACTAACCAGCCCGGTTTTTCTGACTTGTTTTTAAACCCGTAGAACCACCTCTAGCTGGACATATACCTCACAAAAAATCATGACGCGTTTCCAAAGTTTTGGTCCTTCAAAGTGATTCTAAACTATATCCAGTTTATCAACAGTGTACCTGGCGGTACATCTAACTGGATATATTCCACAATTGTCCCACAAACTGGTTCTGAGGTTCTACCAGTTCTCATCACTGTTTTTAAATGCTTTCACTGCCCCTACATTCAAAAAGCAACTAGTTCCTTTAATTGAAATGGAGACGGTTCAGTTCCTGGTCCTAAAGTGTTTAAGAGGCTTTACTACGTCCTCTACATGGATCCAGACTAAAATGGCAAACTGGTTTTCCTTGACTGCTTCCTTTAGCAAGCTCCAGTTCAATCAACTGGTTTTGGAGACAACAGGAGATTTCAAAAGTTAATCCAACAATTTAATTTAAACTATACAAATATACAACCAGTGGCCGTTTCCAATATATAAAAATTCATTGGTTCCTTCAGCAGGTTCAAATGCTCCACCAATTCATCCAACTGGTTTCAAAAGTCAAACTGTTCATCCTTTAACTATTTTTCATTATCCATTATGTTTAGAAGCTTAACCAAGCTTCCTTTAACTAGTTGTGAAACTCTAAAATTAAACCTGCTGAGTTCTGACACAGATTACCTCAGACAGTATCCCCACACCAGGCTCCCATAATGCATCTGTACTCACCATCATCATCAGACAGTGCAGAGCTTCCACCACAGAAAAACATATCAGGGATGAGCTAAACAGCGAACACGTTAGTATGCTCGCCTTCAGGTTCTTTTACTCATCATCATCGTCCAGCAAAGCTCTGAAGGAGATTTCTCCTGACCACTGGTGTGTCTTGCTCTCAGCCTGAACAGCTGCTGAGCAGTCTGTCAACTCATGAATAAAGAAGCCACAGCCAGAGAGCGGTTACCTCATCAGCACAGCGACCAATCCCTGTGGAGAGCAGAGGTGGTCCAGCTAAGTCTGCACCAATCTCAGCAGCCCACCGGGAGATCCCGCCGGTGATGTCATCACGCTAAAAGCATGATGTCATGTAGATATATCTGGATGGAGTGGTTTGACTGTTTATTCCCAGTTTACAACAGGTGAGACTCTCCTATCATCTACTGCACCTGACACCAGGTACAGGCTTGAACAGCATTTGATCAAACCCTCTTATTAAATCTGACGATCCACCCGAAAGAGGGGAAAACTCGGGAAGATACGCATATTGCCTGTGAAGTGAATACTTCTATTATTAATTAAATGCTAATCTTCAGTTTTGTCTCCTTTTTATTCCTCTTTAGTGTGGTGTTGTTCTATTTTAGTTCTGCGTTTGGCTCTATTTTATGTCATTCTAATTTATTCTAATCTGCTCCGGATCTATTCTGTTTGGTTCCAGCAGCTGAGCTCAGAAACACAGCGAGGCCATTACGTTACATTCACCTCCTGAATATAACCTGAATATAACCTACCGTGAACCCCAAACCTCATACAAAGTCTTTATGGTAAAATCTCACTCGGGAACTTCCTTTTGTTCCCAAAAAGAAAGTCGAGTCCCCACAAAATGAGCATGCAAACAGAATTAGGTCCCCACAACATGAGTAATACACACACACACACACACACACACACACACACACACACACACACACACACACACACACACACACACACACACCATAACAAACTGAAGATGAAAGCTAAGCAGCCTCCTCCTCCAGATGTAGGACAGCAGCAGCAGCAGCTCATTTTTTCTGTCTCCATCTACAGTGCAATCTACATATACACACATATACTGGATAATACTACATTCTACACGCTGCAGTATCTCCTGTGACACACATGCACACAATCTTAGCTCCTATTACTGAGCTGCAGTTCTTTAAACGAGGTCACGCATCATCTTTAAATATCAAGCATCTGAAACCAGCATTTGAGTCCAATCAGGGAAGAAAAATACGAGTAGCTGTGAAATGGTACATATAAAAAAAAAAGACTCCATGATAGCAACAACAACAACAATATTGATAATAATAAACACATCTTACAGGCAAGACAAATGCAACCAGTCAAATGTGTCTGCAAAAATGCCCTCACCACTAACAGACAATAAGGAATCACTAAGCAGCTGCAATAGAAATGCAAATTACACACAACGCCACCTACAGGCAAGACAGGTAACAGTAAAAATTTATAAATGAAAGGGCTCAAGAGTAACAATAATAAATGCAAGAAAACTAAGAAAAACGCACAAAAATATACATGTCTTATACACAAACGTCTGCAAAAATTTTTTTTTTATATATCTATGATTATTATATGTAATAAAAATCATAAACAGCTAGGATGTGCAGTAAACAGCAAAACAAAACTGTACATCATGCTACTTAGGTAAGTAACAATATTAAAGGTAACTAAAATGACAGCAATAAAACTGAAAAATCAACAATAAAAAAAAGAAAATGTTAAAAATAAATGCCACCTACGGGTGAGAAATGTATTGTATTAGAAAACTGGGAGATCTATATAAAGCAAATGTGTTTAAGTCCTTTCAAGAATTCAAGGGGTTTAGCAGAAAGTGAATCATGGAGATATTTACAGCTGAGGAGCTGCATGAAAAGCACAGCAGTTATCGTAAGTAATAAAGAAAACGTATTATCATCCTTTTTAAATCTGTCTCAGGAAGCTCAATCAGCATCAGTTTTCTATAAATACATCCTTTGAATCAGTGGTGGCAAAGACTAAGGAAGTGTGGTCTGACATGGAATATGAAACTGACAGAATATAAAGGCAGGTGCTCTTTTCCATTTTCTGCCTCCACTAAGTTTTTGGAACCACTGTCCAAACACTAGTACTTAAAAATTGTATTCATCTATTATCATTTAATTTATTATTTTTAAAATAATATTTTAAATATTTTTTTTCTCCAATTACCCAGACTGTAAATATGTTCAATGTGTTTTAGATACTTTGATGGAAATGAAAAGATTTCTAAAAATTTGAGTTACAAAACTAAATAAATAAAACAATAAGTGACGATGCATTAGCAATGGTAAATATCCATATATAAAAATATCAACAATAATATGAGAGTATATGAGGTTTATGTATATAATACCTTTTACTAGATTTACATATTGTTTATTAATACAATTCAGACTATTCTCTTGCATAATCTGTTAGTCTTGACTTTTATTATTTTTTGTTAATCATTTTCAGAAGATAAAACATTTATTGACACATCTCTAAAGAGGAAACAATTATCAAACTAGTAGGAAACCTTTTGCTGAGATTAACTGTTAAATTTCCTAAGCATAAATTATTATGTATTTGTTTTTGTACAAGTTTTTAAACTTCCTACCTCCCGAGCACAGACGTTGTTTTACTTTTAATTAAAGGTTTATGCACACGTTTGGGTTAATTGTCAGTACTGACTGTGCAAAGTGTTTTATATTTTACGTTTTTAAACATCTTTTAATGTGCAAATGAGCTGGCACCGCTAAATGAACCAAAATGTTTTAATGGCATTTTTACTAATTATTTAACTTTTACGCACCAACAAATTTAATCACTGCTGTAATTCTCTGTACAATTGAGCAGATGTTTATTTATTCAGATAATTCACATGTTGGCTCTCTACTTTGATATTTAAAAACCTGAAAAACATGGATGTTCAGCCAAGCTCATGGATTTTAAAAATAAACCTCTTCCACTTACATTCATTTACAAAACCTCCCAAAGCTAACATCTAAGGTTTTACAGCCACAAGCTGAACTGTGTTTTCACTTGTATAATTAATATCCACTGAGAGCTGGAGCTCAGTTTTTAATTATATTTATAACGCTCCTCACAACACATTCAAAGATTTCTCCAAACACTCAAACTTTCAGCAGACCTTGAACAGAAGTCAAATCTCCCAAAGAAACAAATACAAACAGCAGAACTATCAAAGGAAAACCAGAGCTGTGAAGACTTTGAACACAGCAGGGGTAAAACTTTCTTTGTCTGTATGATTATCTCAGCGCAGGAGGTGTCATCGAAGCCTCGTCTAATTTACTGGAAAAGGAGGATTTCAGCTCTTCCAGATTAACTGGCTTCCAGTTGAGGACAGGGCTCCGCATGTTCAAGTGTTTCTTCTTATTTCCATAATTAAGAAAAATCAAAGAGGCTGGGTGGACTCCAGAGCCAAACCCAGCTGTGTGAAGATAACACTCTGAGACCAGCCAGGTTTCCTTCATGTCTTCTGGTGCCAACAAACTGAACAAACTACTCATGCAATCCAAGAAGAGTCAAACTTTCCTGGCTTTCAAGTGGAGGCTAAACAGTGGCTGCTGAATTTCTCTGAACTCCTTCCTCAAGATGTGGACGTCAGCGACTAAAGCAGCTTTTTGTCCTTTGTCACCAATTTAAAAGCTTCAAATATGTGAACCTCACAGTTTATTTCACCTGTTTATGAAGTGATGGAGC